GTAGGGTTTAGGGTTCAGGGTTTGAGGGTTTGAGGGTTTGAGGGTTTGAGGGTTTGAGGGTTTGAGGGTTTGAGGGTTTGAGGGTTTGAGGGTTTGAGGGTTTGAGGGTTTGAGGGTTTGAGGGGGTTTTAGGGGGCTTATAAGGGGTTTGGGGGGGGGTTTTAGGGGGATTTAGGGAGTTTAGGGGGTTTTTAGGGAGTTTGTAAGGGGTTTGGGGGGGTTTAGGGGGTTTGATGTGGTTTTAGGGTTTGATGTGGTTTTAGGTGCTTCGGGGGTTTTAGGGAGTTTTAGGGGGTTTAGGGGGTTTTAGGAGGTTGAGGGCTTTGAGGATCTGGCTTTGCTTTAGGACGGCAGGGGACAAGTTGGTTCGGGTTTGGGGTCGGGGTTTGGGGTTTCGGGTTTAGGGTTTAGAGTTTAGGGTTTAGGGTATAGGGATTAAATTTAGGGTTTAGGGTTTAGAGTTTAGGGTTTAGGGTTCGGCCATCCTTGCAGCTGGCGTCTACCCTGAGTCGAACCACCCGGCTTTAGGGTTTAGGGTTTAGGGTTTAGGGTTTAGGGCTAGGGTTTAGGGTAACCCGAAACCTTGAACCCTAAACGCTAAACCCTAAACCCTGTAGCCCAATGCTTCCTGATATGCACTGCCCTTTCGGACCCTCGCATGTTGACATGCGACTTTGTGCTGTGGCTGTAGACCTGAGCGCAGTCCCAAACCCCAAAACCTGAACCCTAGCCCTAAACCCTAAACCCTAAACCCTAAACCCTAAACCCTAAACCCTAAACCCTAAACCCTAAACCCTAAACCCTAAACCCTAAACCCTAAACCCTAAACCCTAAACCCTAAACCCTAAACCCGACCCTAAACCCCAAAACCCAAAACCCTCAACCCTCAACCCTAAACCCTAAACCTCAACACCATGAATCCTCCACCTGAGGCCCCGGGCGTCGTGGGGGGCGGTAGCGACGGCATCCTGCTAAGCCTAAGACGGAAGTGGGCTTAAGGTTCAGGGTTTAGGGTTTAGGGTTTAGGGTTTAGGGTTTAGGTTAGGTTTCAGGGTTTACATGTAAGGGTTTAAGGGCCCCAAACGCTGAAAATTCCCGAGCCCTCAGGTTTGAGCTTTTGAGGGGTTGAGGGTCGAGGGTTTTTTACCGATGATGGACACACCTTTGAAGGGTTTTAAGATTTATTTCTGGGTTTTTACCGGGCTTCGGGATGTTTAGGGCTTAGGGTTTGGGGTTTAGGGTTTGGGAATTTCAACGCCAGAACATCCCTGCGGTCATGAGGACGGCGGACGTGACTTTTGCAAACTTCCGCAGCCATGAAAAGCGGAGTGGGTTGGCGGTTGAAACCCTCCGACGCGCTACTAAAAACGCTCCTGTTGAGCCGGAACATGTAGGAAAGACATAAAAAGATGCCCAACAAGAATGAATACACAAGCAAATAACCAAGCCAACAGATCAATCGCATGCAGAATCTCGAAGTCCTACCTAATGCAATAGCACCAAGCGCTCACGTACTCGCGATCTCAACCCTAAACCCTTCCAAGCCAAAGGAGTACCTAACCAGAAAAGGTCATCTTGGTAGATAAACCATAACTGATTTTTGATCGTAAAGAAACCGTCTTTGGCTGAACAGATGTCAAAAACTTCTTGCTTTCAAATCTTCTCGCTTGTGCCATCATGGGCGCAACAAAGGTGTCGCTTTTGAGGTGTTCTCGTCCAGAGGAGTGCGCTCATGACTCGGTGCACGCAGCTCTTCACCCTTACCGATCTCAAAACCTAAAACCCTAAACCCTAAACCCTAAAGCCTAGACTCAGAGTCTAGTGCGCGTCATCCCACCCACCCAGTTCGTGGCACAGTGCCGGAACGATGGCCGCACGCGGACGCCGGGACAGTATATGTCGCTTCCCTTCAGCTCGTCGGCTGCAGGGATATCTTGGGGTAGTTACACGGTCCCTTAGTCTTGGCCCTTAGGCCCTAAACCCTAAACCCTAAACCCTAAACCCTGAAAGGGGGAGCCCTTTTGCACACCTTATACAGACCTATAGAGCCCAAGGGTCTCATACGTATTTCAGAACCCTTTAAGGGAGGTACGAGACCATATATCCCGTGAAACTACCCCTAAACTAGATACACGTTATCCAACCTTACTAGGGGTCTCTTGTTGGGTGTTTAGGGTTTAGGGTTTAGGGTTTAGGGTTTAGGGTTTAGGGTTTAGGGTTAGGGTTTAGGGCTAGGGGGAACCGAATGTTGTGGAAACAAGCCAGCCGTAGCCTTTCGTTGCAGCTTGTCCATGCTAAAGCCAAGACACTGACCCCTGAACTCTCCCTAAACCCCAAACCCCAAACCCCAAACCCCAAACCCTAAACCCTAAACCCTAAACCCTAAACCCTAAATAAACGGGTTTCTTTCTGACCCACCTTCGCCTACGCTGGCTGTCAGCATCCCTTACTAGGGGGTAGATGGCGCTCTCACATTTGGGGAGCTACTGCGTGGGGTTTAGGGTTTAGGGTTTAGGGTTTAGGGTTTAGGGTTTAGGGTTTAGGGTTTAGGGTTTAGGGTTTAGGGTTAGGGTTGAGGACTTAGGTTTAAAACAAAAGTGTACCTACTTTTTGGGGTTTAGGGTTTAGGGTTAGTTTAGGGTTTTGGTTTAGCGTTGAGGGTTTTGGGTGTAGGGTTTAGGGCCCAAGGCTTCCAAAACGCTCAAACAATTCGGGGGTGTCAGCACTCCTGTTGGGGAAAGTGGCCCACTTAAGAATACGGTTCAGCCTTGGGCCAGGCGAACGCACCCGAACCTGAGGGTTTAGGGTTTAGGGTTTACGGCTTAGTTTAGGGTTAGGGTTTAGGGTTTAGGGTTTAGGGTTTAGGGTTTAGGGTTTAGGGTTTAGGGTTTAGGGTTTAGGGTTTAGGGTTTAGGGTCTAGGGTTTAGGGTCGAGGGTCTAGGTTTTAGGGTTTCCCTTACCTTCCTTAAAGGGATCTTGGGGCTTAGAGGGTGTATAAGGGGTACACAAAGGTTCCCAACTAAGGGCGCATACTAAGGGACCATGTAACTACCCTAAGACGAACCTAATGCGCAAGACCTTGCATCTGAAACAAGTCTGATAGTCTTTGGGCTATTTATCGGGAGAAAGTTGAGGTTTCAGGTTTTACGGTTAAAATTTGAAACCCAGCTTGTGAGACCCAAATGGCTCACGAGGTGATTGTTCCACCTGGGCGTAAACGACCCTAACCCTAAACTCCAAACCCCAAACCCTAAACCCTACACCCTAAATTCTAAACCTAAACCCTAAACTCCAAACACCCGACCGGTGCCTGCAATCCGGGTCCTTCGGGTGGTCAGTGCCAGATCAGCTGGACCTGCCACATTCCCGCCGCGCACGAGTCTTCGCAACAGAGCTTGCTAGGGTTCCCTGAGCCCGAAGCCCGAAGCCCGAAGCCCGAAGCCCTAAGCCCTAAACCCTAAACCCTAAACCCTAAATCCTAAACCCTAAACCCTAAACATTCTAAGGCCCCGGCTGGTGTCCTCCGGATGCCAGGAAACCGCACCATCCGATCATGCATGAAAGTCAGGGTTCAGGGTTGTAGGGTGCTAGGGTTCAGGGTTCAGGGTTCAGCGTTTAGCGTTTCGGGTTTAGGGTTAGAGGGTTCGGGAGGTTGAATGGTGAGGGCTTGCAAGGTTTAGGGTTCGGGGTAGAAAGGTTGTGGGCCCATGGCAGGGCTGAGGGATTCTTGGGTTTAGCTTGGGAGTAGGGTTTAGGGTGGGCTTAGGGTTTAGGGTTAGATAAGGGCTTAGGGTTTAGGGTTTAGGGGTGTGAGTGCCGCACTACCCTCATGTCTGCTACTTGGAGCCACGTGTCCCTTCTGCAGTGGACCCAGCCCCCAGGGCAGGGGTATAGGGTTTAGGGTTTAGGGTTTCGGATCTAGGGTTTAGGGTTTAGGGTTTCGGGTCTAGGGTATAGGGTTCGGGGCTTGGGGGTTTTGGCATGCCCAGCACCGTCACCAGCGGTACTCCAGAACTCTAACACCAGACGCCCTATGTCCCCAACCCTCAACCCTTCAACATTCAAGCCTAAACCCTAAACCCTAAACCCTAAACCCTAAACCCTAAACCCTAAACCCTAAACCCTAAACCCTAAACCCCAAGCCCGAAATCCTAGAACTTTACCAGTTCAGCCCTGAAACTTGACTTCTAGCCTGGACCCCCAAGCCCAGATTTCGGGTTTAGCGTTTAGGGTTTAGGGTTTGAGGTTTAGGGTTTAGGGTTTAGGGTGTAGCAAGGTTAAGGGTTCCATCCCTGAACCGCAGAACCCGATCAACACCAAAAGCCCTCAAGCCGAAACACACAAAGAAAGAGGCTCCCGTGAGCCATCCCTTACTGGCCTGACCTAGGAACCTCAAAAGGGTGCCCCTTTTGGGTTGAAGAGGGCTCATCCCTAAACCCTAAACCCTAAACCCTAAAATCCTAAAATTTGAAAAAAGGGAACAAGGGCCCTCAACAAAAAGGTGGTGGGGCTGCCGGGCTTGGGCTTCGGACTTCGGGCTTGGGCTTCGGACTTCGGGCTTAGGGCTTTTGGCTTAGGGCTTAGGGTTTAGGGCTTAGGGTCTGGGGTGTAGGGTTTAGGGTTTGGGGTGAGATGAGTCAGGGCTTTCTCTCTAGCATCCCCAAAGAGACACCCAATTTAGACATATTGAACGCATCACATACACACCCACGGAAACCCTAAGCCCTAAACCCGAAAAAATCTAAGCCCTATGCCCTCCCTTATGCAACTCCAGGCATACATCTTGCCAAAACCCTCGTAAGAATCATGAACTGAATTTCCGCCCATCATCATCTTTCGGTCTTTTAGGGTTAAGGGATCAGAGGGGTTTAGGGTTTAGGGTTTAGGGTTTAGGGTTTAGGGTTTAGGGTTTAGGGTTTAGGGTTTAGGGGTTAGGGCTCAGGGTGTACGGTTGGGGGGCTGAAGTTCGAAACCCCGCGCACGACGCCAAGCCAGGGGCGACCGTGACGAAGCACCCGGCCTGCTTCTGAATTCGGAAGTTTGGGACCTAAACCCTAAACCCTAAACCCTAAACCCTAAACCCTAAACTGGGTTCAAGGGAGTCAAACTCGGACCCCTAAGGATGTACCTCTAAGGGCTTCCCTTATATCATATACTCCTGATATGGCCCATATATTATATATTACTATATTCCTTAGAGGATCTTGAAAAGGGTCCCCAAACCCAACGGTGCAACCTTCTCCCTGGTTACCTAGTAAAGAATGAGGGAATTAGGGCCCTGCCCTTTAAGGCATTTTTTCGGGTACCTCTCATTCCCTACTAAGAACCAGCCAGCCGTAGGGCCCCAAGGGAGAATCCGAGGATGGGCTAGAGGTTGAGGACATCAGGCCTAGGCTGCAAACCCTAAATCCGAAACCCTGAAACCTTAAAACCCTTGACTCAAGACTCGAAAACCCTTAAGACCCTAAACCCTAGCCCTAAACCCTAAACCCTCAGCCCCCGGCCCAAAACCCAAGCAAAACAAACCCTAAAACCCTCTACAATGGTCTAGGGCTTAGGGTGTCGGGAGTAGGGTTAGGGTTCCGGGTTTTGGGTTTAGGATTTAGGGCTTAGGGTTTTTTATACCAGACCCTGAGGCTTCAACCTCGGACCCTACACCCCTTGAACCCTAAACCCTAACCGAAACCTCGAGCCCCCTTTGCCTTGAGCCTTGAACCGAAATCGCCGACGACCGCTTGGAGGATCGGTGGACTTAGTAAGTAGGAATTTAGCCGAATTTGGCAGGGCTTTCAAGTAGGATGGCCCCTTGAACTGACAGTGGGGTCACTTTTAGGGTCCTGTTAACTCTAAATTCCACCCTCAACCCGAAAACCGAAACTCAAAACTTCAAAAACCCTAACCCCAAAACCCTTGATTGCTAAGGCCCCCCCTGACCGCCCCACCCTCCCTAAACCCTAAACCCTAAACCCTAAACCCTAAACCCTAAACCCTAAACCCTAAACCCTAAACCCTAAACCCTAAACCCTACACCCCCCCACCCCCCTATTCTCCAAGTACAGACCGCCTCAGGCTACGCAAAGCGCGTGCAGAGTTCACAGCACTGCCAGCAGGAGCCTCGCCTGACCAAGGTTTAGGGCTTGGGGTTTGGGGCTTAGGTAAACCCTAAACCCTAAACCCTAAACCCTAAACCCTGAACCCTGAACCCTGAACCCTGAACCCTGAACCCTGAACCCTGAACCCTAAACCCTAAACCAGTCAGGAACCATCCCCTACCTCCGAACCCCTCAAGCAGCAAACTTTCCTAAATCTTCCCAAGGAGTTCAAGGCTTCGATCCGGGCCCTTGGCCTTTTAGGGTTTAGGGTTTAGGGTTTAGGGTTTAGGGTTTAGGGTTAAAGGGTTAAGGGTTCAAGGGTTTAGTGTTTAGCAGTACGTCCATAACCGGTGTATACGGACCCAAGAATGAGGGCCCCGTAGTACGGGCCCACACTTGATACACTAGAGGCTTTGGGGTTAGCCTGTAGTAGTAGGGCTTCCCGAAAAATTCTGAACATGGGTAGCTCTTTAGCAGTTCATAGGCTCGCTGTAAGACTTGCGTTCATACATCTCCCCGAACCCTCAACCCCCTAAACCTCTAGCCCCAAATTGCATAGACTTAGAGGGTCTTGGATTGGATTCGACTCAACAACTGCCGGCAGCGGGAAATTAATCAGGCGGTTTCATTGAAGGCTTACGGCTTGGGCTCAGGGTTTCGGGTTTAGGGCTTCGGGTTAGGGTTTAGGGTGTAAGGGCTTAGAGATTAGGGTTTAGAGGATTTCGGGTTTCCCCAAATCCCCAAAGACCAAGCCCTAAACCCTATCGTTCAGACTCCCAGGTTGGGTGTTGGGGTTTGGGGTTTGGGGTTTGGGGTTTGGGGTTTGGGGTTTGGGGTTTGGGGTTTGGGGTTTGGGGTTTGGGGTTTGGGGTTTGGGGTTTGGGGTTTGGGGTTGGGGGTTTTGGGTTTGGGGTTTGGGGTTTGGGGTTTGGGGTTTGGGCTTCGGGGTTTAGGGCTTAGGGGTCTGGGGCTTAGGGTATAGGGTTTTAAGGCGTAGGGCCCAACTTTGACCGCGATCTCGTTGCCAAGCTGTGCGTAGTAACAGTCGCGGGAGTAACAGTCGCGGTGATGGGTGGAGGGGGCCCGCTAGGCACGGCCATGAGTGGCGGGGATGCAGGCGCGGTGATGGGTGGCGGGGATGTATCCTCGGCAGCTGTGCTTGGCATCGGCGGCCTGACAGGCTCGGCTACAAGCCTCGCATTGCCGAACCTGAAGTTGCAGCATCACTGTGAAGGCCTGCACCGTTTTGGGGTTTAGGGTGCAGTGCCTACAGACCTATTGCAGTTCCTCTCCCCAAAACCCTAAACCCTGAGCCCTGACCCTGAACGGTGGTGGTGGTTGTCTTTCCTGAGATAAAACACAAGAACTGAGAAGCGCCAGAGCCCTAGTAACTTATTTTCTGGGCTTAGGGTTTAGGCTTTATAAGTTTAGGGCATCAAGGGACTACAGGAAGGACCCTTACAAGGGGTCATGTAGGGGTCTTTTCGGGGCTACTTAAGGTTCTAGGGACGATACAAGGTTTTTTTTCGGGGGTTATTCTTGGGGGAACAAGATAGAGGGTCCCTACTAGGGTCCCTCAGCAAGCTTATGGGGTTCTTAAGGGAGGAAGAGGGTCTAGGGTTTAAGGGGGGAACCGTATATATATATATATATCCCTTACGTACCCTGTGAAGCCCAGGGCCCATACTTTAGAACCCTTTTAAAGAAGGTACGTGGCCATATTCAGGAACCATGTAACTACCCTTAGATATACTACTAATTGCTTAAGAAACCCGAAAAAATAAAAAATAAAAAACTCTTCTTTACTAAGGGTAATATGGGGAATAATATGTTTCATTCTTTTGGGGTTCTTAAGCAAATAGTAGATATAGGGTTCCTAAGGGAGGGGGGTTCGTGGGGGTAGGTACCTAGGGAACCTTAGGGAGCCTTAGGGAGTAGTTTTGGGGGGTATTTAGGAACCTTGGGTTCCCTAACCCCCATTGAACCCCCCCTCCCTTAAGAAGGCTACAACAAGCCGATGTCTACTACTATACCTCCTGTCTTGCTACTATGTTCCTACTATAGAGTTACCGGTTTCATACCTAGTACGGCATATAGACCTTGATGAAGGTCAGACGAGTTGCTCTGGGTGGGGTTTTGAGGCTGCAGGGTTCTGAGCAAGCCTCTTCCTACAAACCCAGAACCCCAAACCCAAAACCCTAAACTCTAAACCCTAAACCCTAAACCCTGAACCCTGAACCCTGAACCCTAAACCCTAAACCCTAAACGCAGACACTTGTGCTCCGCCCGCCTGGCATCTCTTGTGCTGCTCCAGGATCTTCCTGCTCCCCCAAACCCCTAAACCCTAACCCTTAAAACGTAAACCCTAAACCCTAAACCCTAAACCCTAAACCCTAAACCCTAAACCCTAAACCCTAAACCCTAAACCCTAAACCCTAAACCCTAAACCCTTAAGAGTTTTTCGGGATGTACAGCTCCGGGCCGCCCTTAGAGGGTTCAGGGCCTGAAAGTCTTCAGCAGGCTCTTAAGGGAGGCTGGTAAACCCTAAACCCTCAACCCTCAACCCAAAACCCTATACCCTAAACCCAAAACCCTAAACCCCTCCCTCAAGAGCCCTTAACCCTAAGCCCTAAGCCCTAAACCCTAACTCCACTTGAACCCCCGCTCCCTTAAGAACCCTAAACCCTGTAAAAAACGTACCCCAGTTTTGTTCCCAAGCTGCCCGAGTCACAAAACGCCAAGAAGGGTTTAGGGTTTAGGGTTTAGGGTTTAGGGTTTAGGGACAAAGTCCGATTTCTAGCGTGATGACACCTTCATCGTCCTTCTTGCCTGTCTGTCGCTCTAAACCATGCAGGCGTAGGGGTTTGAGGTTATTTGAGGTCTAGGTCCTTCTGCTGCCTCACTGTCACCCTAAACCCTAAACCAGAAAACCCTAAACTTTACGCTAAACCCTAAACCCTACCCCTAAACCTGAAACCCTAAACACTACAACACAAACCCGAAACCCTGACCCTAAACCCTCCACCCCACGCCCACCGCAGCCTCTGCAGCCTCAGGATCTTCCTCGTAATCACTGGATGCTCCACCCTGGCCTTCAGACCTGGAAAGTCGACATGCATGTGGTTTAGGGGTTTAGGGGTTTAGGGGTTTAGGGGTTTCGGGGTTTAGGGGTTCCGGGTTGAGGGTTTAGTGTTTAGGGTTTTGGCTTTAGGGTTCACGGTCTGGGGTGTAGGGCTTAGGGTTTAGGGTTTGGGGTTTAGGGTTCAGTGCTTCAGGCTTTGCACCTCCCTTGTACCAAGTGTGCTCTAAACCCCCCATCCCCTGAGGCTATACCCCAAATCCTAAACCCTACTACACCCAAACCTTAAAATCTAAGGCTGGAACCATGGGCCCTTACCCCTGTTTACAGGCCTTTAAAGGGATCCGAAGTGTGGGCCCTGTTTATGTATTGTGGTAATAAGGGCTATATAACAGGGGACTTTAGGGTTTAGGGTTTAGGGTTTAGGGCCATACTTCAGGTCCCCGATTAAACCCTAAAGCTTCCGACTTTGACCCCTGAACCCTAAACCCTACACCCTAAACCCGAAACCCTAACCCCTATATGCCGGCCGATCGTGGCTTCCGCTCTAGTCACAACCTGCCAGGGCATTTCATGAGGACGTTGTGGGCCTCCCGCATATCGCCTCCAACTCCTCTGCGTGCCTCTCCCCTACAGCTCAGCCTCATAGTCCTGGGCCAGCAGCCCCGAACCCACGGTAGGATCGACGCCAGATCCGGCGCTGCTCTGCATTGACTCTTGAACACTGACGAAAATCCTTTTTAGGGTTTAGGGTTTAGGGTTTGGGGTTTGGGGTTTGGGGTTTGGGGTTTGGGGTTTGGGGTTTGGGGTTTGGGGTTTGCGGCTTAGGGTTTAGGGCATCAAGGGACGAAAGGAGGGACTCTTAAAAGGGAGCGGTTCTTGAGGGGGTATTTAGGGGCCACTCAGGTATATAGGGACTATATAAGAAATTATACAGAAAGCAGCGGGGAATAAGATCAAGGGTCCCTTGCAAGTCCCTCCAATACCCCTTAACTAGAGAAGCACCCGGAACCCTAAGCCCCAAGACCCTAAAGACCAACAGAAACTCAAGGCCTAGAGGCCTCGAAACCCTAACGCCCAAACCCTACTACCCCAAACCCTAATACCCCAAACCCTAAACCCTAAACCCCAAACCCGCCAAGATCCGGGCTCCCACTTGCTGTAGCCCATCGCATCCCAGTCCTCCCAGAAATGGCAAGGTTTCAGGGTTTAGGATTTAGGGTTTAAGCGCTTAGGGTTTAGGGTTTAGGATAGGATTTAGGGTTTAAGGGCTTAGGCTTTAGGGTTGGACTAGGGTGTAGGGCTTAGCGGTGACTCCATGGAGGTTTCAGGGGCTAAGGGGTTAATTAGCCGCAAAGTTGCCCTAATCCCTAAACCCTAAACCCTAAACCCTAAACCCTAAACCCTGACCTAAACCCTAAACCCTAAAACCCTCAACCCCAAACCCTAAACCCTAAACCCGAAATCCTGAGGGGTCTCGGGGGCTCAGGGTTCGCACTAGAAGCGCCCATCGGATGTAGGGTGCATAGCTCGCGGTCCGTGTTTCGTCAGGGTTTAGGGTTTGGGGTTTTGGGAATCTACAGCACTCCAATAACCCCAACAATCCCAAGCCCTAAAGTCCCAAAAGGACTTGGATGGAGGAACCAAACAGCCAAGACATAAAACCTCTGAAGCCTACCTCAGCACAAACCTTTCAACCTAAGCACAAATCTTTCAAAACCCTTCATCAGGAACTTCTCCCCTACACCCTAAACCCTAAACCCTAAATCCTAAACCCTAGGATCCTTGGTAAGAGTCTAGGGCATCTTGATTAACTTAAGGCCCTACTTTGGAGTAGGCTGAGTAGACCCTGAAAAGGGAATATACTTTTTAGAGAGAAGTAGGTATTAATAGGACCCCACAACCAAAACACGTGTTCAGGTAGAGTTTAGGGTTTAGGGTTTAGGGTTGAGTACTCCAAAACCCAGTAAGGGGTGTGGCCAGGGCGGGAGAGCAGGAGACCTGAAAGGGACATGCCCTCTTTTCCAGCCTAAGCCCCAAAACCTCATTCCCTTGCCTTTTTTGCCCAGACCCCAAAACCACACCCTAAACCCTAAACCCTAAACCCAAAAACCCTAACCCTAAACCCTAAACCCCTGCAACTTGAAGTTTAGGGTTTAGGATTTATGGTTTAGGGTTTCGGGGTTATTACTTACTCAAAGTCCAAAACGAAACTCTCCGACCCCGTCCCGGAGCTAAGCCCTGAATAATTTCAATAAACCCTAAACCCTCATCCCCAAACCCGAAGCCCCAAACCCTAAACCTGAGCCCTAAACCCGAAAGTCTGAGCCCCAAAACCCTGAAATCCCAAGCCCTAAGCCCTAACCCTAAACCCTAAACCCTAAACCCTAGACCCACAGCCCCTAAGCTGAAACAAAAAAAGAAACACCCGCGCACTCCTGAGTTGGCTCAGCTGTGTGGTTGGAGCCTTGGGAGCCCTCGCCTTGGTTTAGGGTTTAGGGTTTAGGGTTTAGGTTTAGGGTTTAGGGTTTAGGGTTTAGGGTTTAGGGTTTAGGGTTTAGGGTTTAGGGCTTAGGGTTTATTGACAATATACAGGGTTCAGGTCTGGGGAAAGTTTGGGGGAGTGTCGTTTCTGTTTTGGCTGAAAATTTCAAGTTACATGGGCTTTTGGGTTTGGTATATAGGGTTGGGATAGTGAACATGGCTTTGCAGGGCAGTCTGATTTGGGGTGCCGGCTCCGGGCAGGTGAAAAGGAACTTGTGTCTTATTTAGGTTCTTGGCTTACCTCCCGTAAGCTTTGTACCCTTGAGAAAGGGAACTGCCTCGTTTTATTCTCGGGTATGTGCATGTTTACATATATATATTTTTTTATTTATCTATTTGTGTATTTATTATTTAAATTCATATTTATATTTATAGATTTATTTTTTCCGAAGCCATACCGTGAATCGACTGTACGTCAACTTCAAGACACGGCGTTGGCGCAGCAAAAAGGAGGCTTACCCTCTGCAGACGCTTTAGAACTGTCTCTGCAAACCTGCAGCATAGATAAGATGATCCTGTACCGGGGTTTCTTCATAAGATATTCTGCTAAGCGTCTCTTCCCACACAAACTTCTTTGCATGGTGTATCCAAGTTTGCCGGGGCTTCCCAACTCGCTTTTTGCCATACTCGATTCTAGTGGCACTGCTGGGCATAAACGGTACCTGTCTTAAAGGATCTGAATCTGCACTACGAAGTGTATGACCTAAAAGCTTAGCACGTCGTAAATTATGGAACTCACTAAATAGTAGTATCTTTCGTTGGTCGTCCCGGCTTGGAAATGCTGTCATACTTGCTTCTTCCAGAAGCTTTGCATTAATATTTGTACGGTCTATATAGGTGTGAGCTTTGTTTAAAATCTTGCGAATGCCCCTCATTTGGAACGCATTGAGCTTCTTTGCCATAGCAGTGGTTAAGTGTATAGTTTCTAGCCCGTATAGATTTACATATTTATGAATTTATATATGTATATATTTACATATCTATATATCTATATATCTATATATCTATATATCTATATATCTATATATCTATATATCTATATATCTATATATCTATATCTATATTTATGTATATTTACATATACACATATTCTGTAGCCAGTTCTCAAAGACTTGGTCCTTTTCTGGGTACCCTAAAGATTAGGTTGTCGCCTTATACTAGTAACCCCAATAAGGGACCAGATATGAGAGAAGTTCTATGTACCCTAAACCCTAAACCCTAAACCCTAAACCCTTGTACCCTGAACCATGACTTTCTCTTTTTCGGGCAGGGTGACTCTATAGGTCGGGCTTGAGACTCTTGATGAGGGCCCTTGGCCAAAACTCGAAACCCTGAAGCCGACGGTTTCTAGGTCTGAGAGCTGCGGAGGGGCCCAAACCCTGTAGGGTTTAGGGTTAAGAGTTTAGGGCTGAAGGCTTGGCAAGTTATTAAGCAGGGTCATGTAGGACAACCCCAACTGGGTCATGCCTGAGACACGGGTATCTTTATAACTAAGTAGCATGCGATCCTCCAACTAGGGTTCGAATGACTGGCCATCACGTGTGCAAGAGCAGAGGAAGCCCTGAACCAAGCTCTTATTCCTGCGAGGGGGTGGGGTGCAATAGCCCTTTGTTCTGAGAGTTCTAACCCTTAAACACCCGAATGAACCCTTTTCAACCCTAAACTCTCAACCCTAAACCCCAAAAGCCTCAACCCTAAACCCTCAACCCTAAACCCTCAAACACTAAACCCAAAACCCTAACAACACCCTAAACCCTGCAACCCAAAACCCTAAAACCCTCAACCCAAAACCCTAAAACCACAAACCCTATACCCTAAACCCCAAGCCTTAAAACATAAAACCCTAAAACCCTAGCAAAATCCTAAACCCCAAACCCTGAACCCCTAGACGCCAAACCCGTACACCCCAAACCCCTAAACCCCTAAACCCTAAAACCCTAAGACCCTAAACCCTCAAACCCCAAAACCCTAAAACCCAAAGCACTAAAACCCAAAACCCTAAACACTAAAACCTTAAACCCTAACAAACCCCTAAACCCTACAACCCCAACCCCGAAAACCCTAAACCCTAAACCCCAAAACCCCAAAACCCCAAAACCCCAAAACCCCAAAACCCTAAACCCTAAACCCTAAACCCTAAACCCTAAACCCTACCCACAGCATCCGATGAATAAACAGCCGGCATCTCAGCATCCGGCTAGCTGAGCTCAAGAGGCGCTCCTGGTCGTCTAAGGGAAATGGCATGGTCCCAAAACTCCCAAGATAGGGTTTGGGGTTTAGGGTTTAGGGTTTAGGGTTTAGGGTTTAGGGTTTAGGGTTTAGGGTTTAGGGTTTAGGGTTTAGGGTTTAGGGTTTAGGGTTACTTGCCAACCCATATACCTTCAACCGAAACCCTAAACCCTCAACAGGGTAAGGGCTTCGTTTAGGGTTTTGCCACCCGCCCAGCACTTGCGCACACCGCGGGGACTACTTCGGGGGGTGCCCACTGAACAACTGCTTCAAAAGCGCTACGTCGCAGGCTGAAGTCAAGCTGCCCAGACCACCATGCCCTTCCTAGCTACACCCCAAAGTAAGGCCTCGCCAAACCCACCGCCACCTTCAACCTGCCATATCGAGGCGGCTGTTTCCTGGTGCCCAGGCAATCTTCTGCTCCTTCTTATGCCACGAGAATGCCATCACCGCTAGTTCGAGGACTGAAAGAAACCCCCGTCACCCTTGTGCAGGCAACTTCCATTCCTTGCAGCTTGCACGCCAACGAGGTGTTCTGAGTGCTCAACCTTTGAGGTTCGCAAACGTGGAATCAGAGAGTGCTAGCACACCGGTGGACGCAGGCGAGCGTGACCAGCCGACGCTCTCCTTGCCTTCTTCGCGGCCCAAAATGCGATACGAGGGATGTGCCTCGCATTTTATGTTCGCCTCACTACAGCGTGCATGGAGCGGAACGAAAGGCCCATGAACATGAAACGCAAAGAATGCAAACCAAGCTCCGCTTGTCTCTGGTTTGCCGCAAGATTTAGGGTTTAGGGTTTAGGGTTTAGGCTACATGGTCCCTTAATGAGGTCCCTTGCCTTCTTTCAAGGGGGTTCCTAAACAGGGGCCCTTGTGCTTGTATAGGGTATATAAGGGCCCTACAGCTTAGGATGCGGGTGGGGGGGGAACTTACCTTACTGACCTCGTGGCACCCCAAACCCAAAACTATCAACCCCAAACCCTAAACCCTAAACCAAACCCTAAACCCTTAAACCCTTAAATCCTTACACCCTAAAACCCTCTACCCCAAACCCCCTAAGCCCCTAACCCTGAACCCTACGGGCACCTTCAGGAATGGAGGTCCTAGCCAAGGTACCTTATGTATGGCTCCCATGAGCGGTATATATGGGCACTAACGGATACGGGGGTTTCCGAAATTCGGGGTACCTTATCGGGGGTGCTGATTGTGAGGGGCTATTTGAGGGGTCCCCTTCGTAAACCCCCATATAAGGGAACTAACGGACATTATGTCAGGGGGTATTTGGAGAGAAACTACCAACTAGACAAACCCTTAGGCCTAGCCCTGCGGCCCGAAACCCCAACTCCCTAAACCCTAACACCAAGGCCCTAAAACTAAAACCTAAACCCCAAACCCCCCAAACCCCCCACCCCCCCCCCCCCAAACCCAGAGCGCCTCAAGATGCTCGGACACAGACCCCCAAAGCCGACATGGTGGAGGGAGATCCCCCAAAAATGACGCCTCAACCCAAGGTTAGAGTTTAGAGCTTTAGGGTGTAGGCTTTAGGTTTAGGGGTTTAGGGTTCGAGGTGGCAGGAGTGTTACGGTCCTACACCCTAAGCCCGAGTGAAGCAAGGATAGGATGGCCCCTTGAACCCTGTGACGACAGATAATGGCAGCTACCCATTGAGAAAACCCTAAACCCTAAACCCTACACCCTAAACCCTAAACCCTAAACCCCCTATGTCAGATCCCAAGGTCCTACCTAGGAGACACTGCAGGAGGCCTCGCTGCTCCGGCGGTGCGACGCCCTGGCCAGGCTGATTTGGCGGGGGGTTTAGGGTTTAGGGTTTAGGGTTTAGGGTTCAGGGTTTAGGGTTTGGGGTTTGGGATTTAGAAGAGAGAGAGAGAGAGAGAGAGAGAGAGAGAGAGAGACAGAGGGAGAGACGGAGAGACGGAGAGACGGAGAGACGGAAGGAACCTAAGGGGCCGATTCCCTTCGGGCTTGATACAGGCTGAATTGGGCTTGTCTAGGGAAGATTGGGACCCTAACTAAACTAAACCCTATACCCTAAACCCAAACCCCGTCCCCCCGATACCACGCTGTACCCCTCAAGCCCTGCTTGAACTATTTCGGGAGCCGAAATACTTGGTTTAGGGTTCAGGGTTCAGGGTTCAGGGTTTAGGGTTAGGGTTTAGGGTTTAGGGTTTAGGGTTTAGGGTTTAGGGGTTAGGGTTTAGGGTTTAGGGTTTAGGGCTTAGGGTTTAGGGTTTAGGGCTACTTCAGCAGCTCGGGGCCTCGCATCCCTCGCCTTGCTCTACCCCCTGCGGGTCCAGGAGCTAAACGTGCTTAGGGCTTAAGGGGGTTGAAAACCTCTAAACCCCCTCCTGCTCCCTAACCCTAAACCCTAAACCCTAAACCCTAAACCCTAAACCCTAAACCCTAAACCCTGAACCCTAAACCCTAAACCCTAAACCCTAAACCCTAAACCAGAAGAAGCCAATGCCGCGCCGGCAAGACGCATCTTTCTTGTCGCCAAGGCCGGTCTTCCAGTTCTGCTGGGTGTCCTGGGTTAGCTTGGGGTTTGGGGTTTGGGGTTTGGGGCTTGGGGTTTGGGGTTTGGGGTTTGGGGTTTGGGGTTTGGGGTTTAGGGTTTAGGGTTTGGGGGTCGGGGGTTGGGGCTCAGTGGGCTTGACCTTCTTGACGTTGGAGCTGGGGCTTTGGGGTGCTTAGGGGGAGTTCCGGGTGTCTTTTTGGTTGTTGCTTCGGCCGGTTGCTCTTCTCTTAGGCTAGTTACATGGTCCCTGAATATGGGCCCTTAATTGGGGGACCCTTATGTGTCCCTTGTTTTCCCTATCCAGCCCAAGGGCCCATACTTCAGGACCCTTTAGAGAAGGTAAGGGGAAATTGACCAAAAAACCCTAAACCCTAAACCCTAAACCCTAAATCCTACACCCTAAACCCTAAACCCTGAGACCTGAAAACAGTCCGTGGCTTGGGGGGCGCTGGGTTGGTTTTTTGGACGAGCTTTCGGCGACATGCTTGAAGTCTCCCTGCTTAGTCACAAGTCAGTACCTTACTTAAGTCTGGAGCATAGGTTACGTGACCTATGACCCCTGCCCATAGCTGCCCATGAACCTTCAACTAGTGGCCCTAAACCCTAATCCCTAAACCCTCGCCCTAAACCCTAATTAAACTACACCCTGGCCCCTTCCTTATAGCCACACATGAACCTAACGATTCGTGAAGAGGCCTTATGGTCCAGGGCTCTAGAGGACCTGGAGGGAGGATCTAGGGTTTGGGGTTTAGGCCCTAACCCTAAACCCTAAACCCCAAACTCTAAAACCTAAACCTTTGCCAGGGGAGGCTTCGAGGTCTTCAGGGTTGTTGTCTGTTTGGGGACTGGGGCGGGTTCAATTTGTAGAAGGACTTCTGGAAGGTTGTAGAACTGCACTAGGACCGTTTGGGGGTTTTTGGGCTTCGGGAATTTTGCATGTCAAGCTTTTGGGCTTCGGGAATTGTGGGTGTCGAGTTTTTGGGTTTCGGGAATTGTGGGTGTCAAGTTTTTGATGCTGTTCTAGGGGTGTTAGGAGAAAGGGCCTCAAATTAGAAGGGTTTGCGAATGTGTTTTCTGGGGTCTTGGGATGCTTCAGACTCCCTCAGCCCCAATCCCTAAACCTAACCCGGATTGCAGTAAAACACTAAACACTAAACCCTAAACCCTAAACCCCTAAACCCTAAACCCTGAAGCGAGTTCAGGGTTTAATAGTTGAGGATCTAGGGTTTCGGGGTGCGGGCCTTTCGCGTTCAAGCTTGCTTCAGTTCTGAGTGGTGACCTGTGCTTCGGGGCTTTGGTGTTTAGAGCTTGCAGGCTTGAAGTCCTGAAGCCTAAGCCCCCTAAACCCTAAACCCTAAACCCTAGACCCTAAACCCTAAACCCTAAACCCTAAACCCTAAACCCTAGACCCTAAACCCCAAAGCTAACAAACCCTACACCCCAAAAGCTACGGGACCCCAACCCCCAAACCCTACCGGACGTGGGTTTAAGGTGATTTATGAATATATAGGGTTTAGGGTATACCAACACCCTAAACCCTAAACCCTAAACCTAAACCCTAAACCCTAAACCCCAACACCCATACCCATGCCCTAACCACCCCGCTCGCTCTGGGATGTGGGCGAGAGGAAGAAAGAAGAGCTGGCACTTGGGTCCTGCGAACTCTTTGGTGCGACTCGGGTTTGTAGCAAATGTTTAAGGGCCTTAGTTGAACGGTTTAGGGCTTAGGGTTTAGCGTTCAGGTTCGGAGTTGACACTGCAGGAGCCTAGCATTTCCACATATTAACCCCTAAGTCCTCAACCCAGCAACCAAACAAAGGTTTAGGGTTTACTAAAGTTACGACAGGTTGCTAAGGTTGCCCAGGTTTACTACAGTTTCTGGGGTTTAGAATAGGGTCAGTTCGCTATCTGATGGTCTCGTATCGGATCTTTAGAATACTACGGTACGGACCCGTAGTAGTTAAGGTGACCAAAAGGAGACCATCATTTGAGAGAACTCACCATGCAGGGTTACTAAGGATACTAGGGGATTACTGCCCCTAAACCCTAAACCCTAAACCCTTAACCCTAAACCCTAAACCCTAAACCCTGACGGACTTGCAAGGCTTCACGGTGCCGCTTCAGGAACAGGGCGTCAGCAACACCATCCAAAATGACACCCGCGTGAATCCTGCGGTCGAACTCTGCCAAGTCCATTTGCTCAGATTCCACGACTGTGACCCTAAACCCTAAACCCTAAACCCTAAACCCTAAACCCTAAACCCTAAACCCTAAACCCTAAACCCAAAGTATCCTGCGAAACCCAGTTGGCCGCCCATGCGCCGCAGGATGTGAGGCGCAAGAATCGACTTGCCCAAGCGAGTGCCTAAACCCTAAAAAAACCCTAAACCCTAAACCCTAAACCCTTAACCCTTAAACCCTAAACCCTAAACCCTAAACCCTAAGCCCTTGGACAGTTGGAGGGTTGAAGGTTGCCAGCAGCTGTTCGACACGTCTCCAAGCCCCCAAAAACCCCAACATGCACACAAAGCTGCTTGGGGTTTAGGGTTTAGGGTTTAGGGTTTAGGGTTTAGGGTTTAGGGTTTAGGGTTTAGGGTTTAGGGTTTAGGGTTTAGGGTTTAGGGTTTAAATCAACGTTAAGGTTTACGGTTTAAACTGTACAACTACCCTCAGTTGTCGTTACAGGGCTCTCAAAATGGTAGGCACCTCAGATTTGCTTGAGACTTCTATGTACACAAAACTGTTGGTCTGCCCCTGGAAACCTTGTGAACATGTTCCTAAGTCCTAAGTCAACTGCTCAGGGTGCAGGGTTTAGGTTTCTAGGATGCTCAGTAACCCAGGATTAAAAAGGGCACCCTTTTTTGCTTAAAGGGGTCCATAAGGGAACCTAATCCCCCCAAAAAAGGGAACAAAGGCACTACTGGGCATCCTAGGTTTTAGGGTTCAAGTGCAGTTATTAATGTTCCAAAGGGGTCATGGCCTGTCCTGAGTCAGGTGGTGGCTCCTTTTTCCGCGTCCTGCTCTTTGCCGTTGCCTGGCAGCACTGTGGGAACCCTTCCAAACCCTGGAAGCCCAGGAGGGCAGTGCAAGGGTTTAGGGTTTAGGGTTTAGGGCTTAGGGTTTAGGGTTTAGGGTTTAGGGTTGAGGGTTGAGGGTTGAGGGTTGAGGGTTTAGGGTCTAGGGTTTAAGGTTTAGGGTTGAGGGTGTAGGGTTTAGGGTCCCGGGTCCAGGGGGGAAGTACCTGAGGGAGGACTATGCGGGATTATCGGTTCAGGGTTTCGAGTTTCCTTGAGGATAGTTACCGTTTATCCTAAACTGCAGAAGATCATCTACTGTCTCTCGACACTTCCCCCCCGCCCCTAAATCCCAAACCCTAACTCCTGAACCCTAAGCCCTCAACCCTAACCTGGGGGGAGGGGGAGGCAAGTTGGGTTCTAGGGGGTTCTACCCCTTGCTGCCCTTTGAGACCCTATACGGTTGGCACTGGGGCCATGACAAGCGATGGCTGGGGGGCTTCTGCTAGGGTTTAGGGTTTAGGGTTTAGGGTTTAGGGTTTAGGGTTTAGGGTTTAGGGTTTAGGGTTTAGGGTTTAGGGTTTAGGGTTTAGGGTTTAGGGTTTAGGGTTCAGGGCTTTGTACGGGTTTAGGATTTAGGGTTTAGGGTTGAGGTTTGTGGTTTCGGGTTTAGGGTTTAGGGGGCAAGCGGGCGTTGACACAAGTGACAGGTACCCTGAGCTACAAGGGAGTTTCCACAGCAGGGGTATCCTGTTTGTGGGTTCCTAGAGCAACAAAGTATAGTGTGTTGGTGGTACATCAGGGGTACCCTTATCTTGATTAAGTCCCAACTTAAAGGACACAAAGAAGGCCGTGGTTCAGGGCCTCTGCCCACACGTGAGCTACTGGAAGAGTAAAGGAATCTTCAACGATTCATGTTGTCCCCAAGGCAGCGATTTGTTGTTTAGGGTTTGAGCTTCAGGGCTAAGGGTTTAACTTGTGTTGGGCACTACAACCCCAAGCCCTAAACCCTGAACCCTGAACCCTACAGCGCACGCAGTCGAAGTCCAAACCCCACCAAAGGCCTGCAATCTTTAGAACCAGAGAAATTTGAGTAGGATCTCGTAAGTAGGGTCACTAGTACCCCAGTTGAACAAAAAGTACACTAGCTATAACCCTGCTGACGACGACCCATGAACTTTCAAGAAATGCCTACATCCTAAGCCCCAAACCCCAAACCCCAAACCCCAAACCCCTAACCCTAAACCCTAAAACCCTAAACCCGAAACCCAAAAACCCAAAAACCCAAAAACCCAAAAACCCAAAAACCCAAAAACCCAAAAACCCAAAAACCCAAAAACCCAAAAACCCAAAAACCCAAAAACCCAAAAACCCAAAAACCCAAAAACCTAAAAACCCAAAAACCCAAAAACCCAAAAACCCAAAAACCCTAAACCCTAAACCCTTCCACCCTCAACCCGCGCCTTGCGCGAGGCGCCTTTGCTGGGCGACTTTTGGCCCTCCTTGGCGGGCGCGCCCTCCGCTCCCTGGCGCGCCAGGGTTTAGGGTTTAGGGTTTAGGGTTTAGGGTTTGGGGTTTGGGGTTTGGGGTTGGGGGTTTAGGGAGGGTAGGGATTTCAAAGGTGTTGAGGGAGGCTTTAGAGTGCGAATTCCTTGTGTTAGACTCCGGTTTTGAGCATCTTGAGGGTCTAGTCACCCTAAACCCTGAACCCTGAACCCTGAACCCTGAACCCTGAACCCTAAACCCTAAACCCTAAACCCTAAACCCTAAACCCTAAACCCTAAACCCTAAACCCTAAACCCTAAACCCTAAGTGGTGTAGAGAGGTTCAGACCCTAAACCCTCAAAAAACATCCCCAAACCCCCCTTGCTTGATGCACCAGCCCTTTCTACACCCCCGGTGGAATGCCAGCAAGCTCCCAAAAGAAACCCGAATTTTTGAGAACTACCCACATCTTTCCTGTGTCGAGGTAACGAAAGAACGCATTCGTTTGAGTCGTCAGACCGGCTCGCGTGCACGAAGCCCTAAGCCCTCTGTGGGCCCTTCTATATGCAGCTAACCTAAACCCCTGAGACCGAGCCCTCTTTACGCAACCCTGAACCCCGAACCCTAAACCCTATAAGCTAAACTCTGAACCCTAGACTTAAACCCCTAAAACCCTACACCCTAAACCCTAACCCAAAGCTTAGGGCTCAATGTTGAGGGACATTCCCTCAGCTTTAAACCCCAGAAAGCCCTGCAACGTCAGCAGCTGCCTCTCGAGCCGGGGCAGGTGCGTCGCCATCTTCGGCCCCCCCTGCGGAGCTCATTGCGTTTAGGGTTCAGGGTTTAGGGTTTGGGGATTTGGGTTTTAGGGGTTAGGGGTTTACGGTTAAGGGCTTGAGGTTGCAGGGTAAATGAAGGTTTGCTGTTTAGGGTTTCATTTTTGAAGCAGCCGTATTGTGACGCTTTCAGCCCAAGGGAGGGCTGCAAATTCCTAAAACCCTAGGCCCCAGTAGAGGGGTTCGGACTTCGTTCAAAGATGGGGCTTCGGCGCTTTATCAGCTCAAAACCCTAAACCCTAAACCCTAAACCCTAAACCCTAAACCCTAAACCCTAAACCCTAAACCCTAAACCCTAAACCCTAAACCCTAAACCCTGGGAAATGCCGAAGGTCTGAAGGCCGGGAGGCGCCAGCCTCCCAACACCCATAAGTTGAGTGTTGAGGGTTTGGGGTTTAGGGTTTAGGGTTTAGGGTTAGGGTTGAGGGTCCCCCTGAAATCCACCAAGCCCCTTAACCTCGAAAAACCATCAGAAACCCAAAGTCCTACAAAGCACTGAGGCTCAAAAAGCCCCAAACCCTAAACCCCAAGATTTACATGGGGGGTTTCCGCAACTAGGGCTACCGTATTGGGGTCTTTATCATACGGGAGCCCTGCTCTTTGTGGGGGTCTATGTTAGGGGTCCCGTCCCGTATTTTCGTGAACCCCCTAACTCTAAACCCGAAACCCTAAATTCTAAACCCTAAACCCTAAACCCTAAACCCTAAACCCTAAACCCTAAACCCTAAACCCTAAACCCTAAACCCTAGCCTGGGCCTCCGCTTGGCGACTCTGACCGCGGTGCTGCGGCCTGAGTGAGGGCTCGGTGCTTGGGGGTTTAGGGTTTAGGGTTTGGGGGTTGGGGTTTAGGGTTTAGGGTTTGGGGTTTAGGGTTTGGTGTTTAGGGTTTAAGGTCCGCCGACCCTGGTGGCGTGTTGGATGGGAAAAGGAGGTGAAAACCTCCCTCTTTCCCTCCTTACCCCCCCAAAACGCGCGGGGTTGGGGGGGGACCCGGGCAGCTTTTCCATGGAGCCCCCTACCCCCTCCCCCTACCCCCCCCCCCCCTCTCCGGTTGTTGGGCTTGAATTGATGGGGTGTTCTCCTTCAAGGTGGCTTCAGCTCCTGTTTGGGTCCTGGTGCTACCCCCTACCCCCCCCCCCCCCAACGTTTCACAGAGGCTCAAGCAAATCAACTTTTGGCATCCTTTGAGCTGACGAGCGCGTTTAAACCTTTCAACTATGCTCCAGCGGGGTCGGCGTTGAGCCGGAGGCTCTTAAATTTAGGGTTTGGGGTTTAGGGTTTGGGGTTTGGGTTTTTAGGCGTTCACTTTCCCACTTGTATAAGTAGGTGTAGGGTTTAGGCTTTGGATTGTTTGGCGCTAGTTTAGGTTTCAGGGCATTGGGGTTGTAGTGCTTTCGGGCTTTAGATTTCAGGGTTTGGGGGGCCGCGTTGCAAGCCCCAAGCCGTAAACCCTAAATATAAACCCCGCGCGCCATGCTCAAGGGGTGCTAAACGCCTTGGAACCGGAGGCGTCCGGGACTCCAGCAGATTTCCTTGCCTCATCAACTGCCTCCGGAGATGCGAATTCAGGAGCGTCCAGGACAACAGAAGATATCCTCATAATTGAGCAGAGTGAGTTGTGCAGTGGGTTTGTCTTCAAAGCGTCCCTCATTGCCTCAATGCCGCCCGCGTCAGCAATCGCTAGCTTGTGTCCCAGCGACTTCATCCACCATACGTTCCCCAAGTTTACCTCCGGAGACGTCATCGCATGGCCACTTCAGCGTTCATCCTCGGGTCGAATTGGAGGTGTCGGATTTCACTTGAGGAAATGCAGTTGCGGAGAACATCCACCCTTCTCTTGAACTGCAAACCGAGCGTCGCAACCATACCCGATGGTCGAACAGTACACCCACGGGTCGGGTGAATAGATCTGGGACTTGAACCGCACGTTGCACACGCGATCTATCACTGTTGAGGGTTTAGGGTTTAAGGTTCAGGGCACACGCGACCCTTCACTTTTGAGGGTTTAGGGTTTAGGGTTTAGGGTTCAGGGCCCTTTTGGGGGCCCTAAACTATCAGGCCAAGCGCTGTAGCAGTCACCAACACGCAGGTAATTCTAGGGATGATTGTAGTTTAGGTTTTCGGGATTAGGGCTGAAGGGGCCATTAATCCCTAAACCCTAAACCCACTTGTAACCGAAGGAATGCCCCTGTACGATGCGTAGCTGACACGCCACGGCTTTCAGGGCCCAAATATAACCCCAGATCATGATCAGGTACATGCTCAAGTAGCCTTAATTTGGGAATGTTCTCCGTTCTCTCCATTCGTTCTTAAGTCAAGGGTCCGAGTTAAAATTAAGGAACAGAACTGTTCCTTAACTAAGGGTTTTGGGAGGAGTGGGTCGGTTGATGCCCGAATACCAAACCCTAAGCCCCAGACCCCAGGCCCTAAAACCCAAACTTAATCGATACCGTCTCTCAGGCTTCTAGAAAGGTGAATAAGGGCACTAAGGGTTGTCTATGGGAAAACTGCGCGCCTGACATCGGTTCTAGAAATCCTAAACAAAAACCATTCCATGATAAACCCCAAACCCCCCAGCCCCTAACCCTAAACCCCCCAAACCCCGAAGCCTAACGTCCCCTAAACACCAAATCTGGAGCCGCCTGCATCCCAGGATTGTCAGGCGTAGGGTGTAGGGTTCCCAGCTTTAAGGTTTTAGGGCTTTGAGGCTTTAGGGGTTTTGGAGAGTCTGGTTTATGTTAGGAGGGGCGGGGGGGGGGGGGGGGGGGGGGGGGGGTCTTTGGGTTTTGGGGTTTACTTTCTTTCTCCAAAATAGGTATAAATGGACCCCCAAATAGTAGGATTCCCCTATAATAAGGACCCCCAAAAGGCTACCCAGATTTTTGTAAACCCCTGAATTTCATGGCTTCGGTCTCCAGGTGTTTGGGCTTTAACATTGAGGGGTATGGGTTGTAGAGGTTTCATAGATTTGGGGAGTTGGTGTCCTTTGGGATTTTGGGTTTTCTTCTGCTTAGGGTTTAAGGGTTAAGGGTTAAGGGTTTAGGGTTTCTTTGGGCTTTCAGGCGTTTTGTTTTAGGGAGCTTGGGGAGCAACAACAGCCCAGAGAAAGCTATGCCCAGAGGAAGATGTCGCTGAACCCTAAACTACCACTTGCTTAAGAACACCCCCCTCCAAAAATCATTTTGCTTCCTTAATTCTGAGGGAAGCATAGGATTATTCTCCTTTTTTGGGGCGTCCTTAAGATCTATCACTGTTGAGGGTTTAGGGTTTAAGGTTCAGGGCACACGCGACCCTTCACTTTTGAGGGTTTAGGGTTTAGGGTTTAGGGTTCAGGGCCCTTTTGGGGGCCCTAAACTATCAGGCCAAGCGCTGTAGCAGTCACCAACACGCAGGTAATTCTAGGGATGATTGTAGTTTAGGTTTTCGGGATTAGGGCTGAAGGGGCCATTAATCCCTAAACCCTAAACCCACTTGTAACCGAAGGAATGCCCCTGTACGATGCGTAGCTGACACGCCACGGCTTTCAGGGCCCAAATATAACCCCAGATCATGATCAGGTACATGCTCAAGTAGCCTTAATTTGGGAATGTTCTCCGTTCTCTCCATTCGTTCTTAAGTCAAGGGTCCGAGTTAAAATTAAGGAACAGAACTGTTCCTTAACTAAGGGTTTTGGGAGGAGTGGGTCGGTTGATGCCCGAATACCAAACCCTAAGCCCCAGACCCCAGGCCCTAAAACCCAAACTTAATCGATACCGTCTCTCAGGCTTCTAGAAAGGTGAATAAGGGCACTAAGGGTTGTCTATGGGAAAACTGCGCGCCTGACATCGGTTCTAGAAATCCTAAACAAAAACCATTCCATGATAAACCCCAAACCCCCCAGCCCCTAACCCTAAACCCCCCAAACCCCGAAGCCTAACGTCCCCTAAACACCAAATCTGGAGCCGCCTGCATCCCAGGATTGTCAGGCGTAGGGTGTAGGGTTCCCAGCTTCAAGGTTTTAGGGCTTTGAGGCTTTAGGGGTTTTGGAGAGTCTGGTTTATGTTAGGAGGGGCGGGGGGGGGGGGGGGGGGGGGGGGGTCTTTGGGTTTTGGGGTTTACTTTCTTTCTCCAAAATAGGTATAAATGGACCCCCAAATAGTAGGATTCCCCTATAATAAGGACCCCCAAAAGGCTACCCAGATTTTTGTAAACCCCTGAATTTCATGGCTTCGGTCTCCAGGTGTTTGGGCTTTAACATTTAGGGGTATGGGTTGTAGAGGTTTCATAGATTTGGGGAGTTGGTGTCCTTTGGGATTTTGGGTTTTCTTCTGCTTAGGGTTTAAGGGTTAAGGGTTAAGGGTTTAGGGTTTCTTTGGGCTTTCAGGCGTTTTGTTTTAGGGAGCTTGGGGAGCAACAACAGCCCAGAGAAAGCTATGCCCAGAGGAAGATGTCGCTGAACCCTAAACTACCACTTGCTTAAGAACACCCCCCTCCAAAAATCATTTTGCTTCCTTAATTCTGAGGGAAGCATAGGATTATTCTCCTTTTTTGGGGCGTCCTTAAGCAAATAACCCTAAACCCTAAACCCTAAACCCTAAACCCTAAACCCTAAACCCTAAACCCCTATGGCTCCAGGCGTTGGCAGCCCGCGCAGTCCGTGGGCCACTGGATGGGGAGCTGGCCTGGTAGCCCAGACCCGGGAGATGTGAGGGTAGTTTGCTTTCGGCCTAAACCCTAAACCCTAAACCCTAAACCCTAAACCCTAAGCCCTAAACCCTAAACCCTAAACCCTAAACCCTAAACCCTAAACCCTAAACCCTAAACCCTAAACCACCCAACCCACCATTTCACGAAAGGGAACTTTGCCTCCATGGTTCGGTGGGCCCTCGCTCCTGTTGTTAAGGAAAAAAAGGGGGGTTTAGGGTTTAGGGTTTAGGGTTTAGGGTTTAGGGTTTAGGGTTTAGGGTTTAGGGTTTAGGGTTTAGGGTTTAGGGTTTAGGGTTTAGGGTTTAGGGTTTAGGTCTGAAGTGGGGGTTTGGTCATTGAAGGCTTTGGGCTCCTTGAGCTTTGGGATTTAGGGTTGAGGGTGTTCAGCGATCGTTTAGGGCTCTTTTGGGTCTAGCCAGGGCCGCTGCCATCGCGACACTACCACATCCTTCCCAGGAACTCAGCCCTAAACCCAAAACCCTAAACCCTAAGCTTGGGTCTGAGGTGCATCCTCTTGGAGGGGGGTGCACCTCATCTCCCTCAAGCTGCTTCTCTGCCTTTCAAGTCCCCCTTCTTCTAGCCCAAAACCCTAAACCCTAAACCCAAGCAAAGAAGGCTTTTCCCGGGACTGCTACGTAAGCTTGTCCTGAAGCTTGCGGACGAGTTTGCTTCTCATGTTCTGCGGCACAGGGGAACAAAATGGGAAGCTTCCTCCCGGCCTTTCTGCACTTAGGGCCAGCTCTTAGAACCCTAAACCCTAAGCCCTAAACCCTAAACCAAAAAAACAGAACAGCTGCTGGATTCAAGGTTTAGGGCTTCAAAGGGGTTTAGAACACTTAACTCAGGCCTTGCACACGCTTATAGGCCCATGGCCCCAAACCCTGAAACCCCATTCAACCCTAAACCCTAGACCCTAAACCCTAAACTCTGACTTCGAAGACCTGAAACCCTAACTCCAAACGCCCTAATCTCAGGCGTAAAGCCTTCAACCTGACGCCCTTAAAACCCTTAAAGCCTTGAAACCTTAAACCCTTAAACCCTTAAAACCTCACACCCTTAAAACCCTTACAGCCCTGAAACCTTAAACCCTTAAATCCTTAAAACCTCACACCCTTAAAACCCTTGACGCCCTTGAAGCCTTTACCCTAAACCCTAAACCCTAAAACCTAAACCCTAAACCCTAAACCCTAAACCCTAAACCCTAAACCCTAAACCCTAAACCCTAAACCCCACAGCCGCAGCAGTCCGGGCCCCCACCGGCTGGCCGTGCGAGGTGGTGGCAGGCCTTTGGTCGGCAAGGCTTAGGGCTTTGGGTTTAGGGTTTAGGGTTTAGGGTTTAGGGTTTAGGGTTTAGGGTTTAGGGTTTAGGGCCTAAACCCTAAACCCTAGACCCTTTAGACCGTAGGCCCTAGACCTTAAACCCGAAACGTAGCAGCTGAACATCCGTGCAAGGATGGCGCCAAGTTTGCTCCCAGGGTCTGCGGATGCAAGAACCACGTGAAGCTCACGATGAACACATCACAGGCGGCCAGGCAGCTTGGGGTAGGGTTTAGGGTTTACAGGGTTTATAGGGTGTATAGGGTTTATAGGGTTTATAGGATTTACAGGGTTTATAGGGTTTATAGGGTTTATAGGGTTTATGGGGTTTATAGGGTGTATAGGGTTTGTAGGGTTTATGGGTTTTTACGGGTTTTTCAGGGTTTACAGGGTTTATAGGGTTTATGGGGTTTATGGGGTTTCTAGGGGATAATATTTGGTTCAATAAATTTTAAAAATTTCATTAGATGATATTGAAAAAACTCAATGGATTTATCTGTTAAAGATAATGAAGTATTATCTGAAATATTAATGGAATATATTATTTATGGATTACATAAACCATTTAAGTTAAATAATATTTTCATATCACTTAGAATATTCTCTATATTTCAGAGTTACAGTGATTATTCGAGCTTAAAAAACAAAAAACGAGAAAGATCAATCAATAAAACATTAACATGAAATACTAGAAATTATATATATATATATATACATATTCATCAAAGAAATTTAGTCTATAAAGCTGTAGATGTTGGTCTAATAAATGCTTTATACATAGAAATGTCTAATCCAGAGGGTTTATGGGGTTTATAGGGTTTATGGGGTTTTTTTAGGGTTTACAGGGTTTATAGGGTTTATAGGGCTTGTAGGGTTTATAGGGTTTACAGGGTTTATAGGGTGTATAGGGTTTCTAGGGATTATAGGGTTTATAGGGCTTATAGGGTTTATAGGGTTTATAGGGTTTATGGGGTTTATGGGGTTTATGGGTTTTTTTAGGGTTTAGAGGGTTTATAGGGTTTATAGGGTTTGTAGGGTAGGGTTTATAGGGTTTATAGGGTTTGTAGGGTTTGTAGGGTTTATAGGGTTTATAGGGTTTATAGGGTTTATGGGGTTTATGGGGTTTATAGGGTTTAGGGTTTTTAGGGTTTATAGGGTTTATGGGGTTTTTTAGGGTTTATAGGGTTTACAGGGTTTATAGGGTTTATAGGGTGTTTAGGGTTTACGGCTTCGCATGGCTGAGCCCCGAACCCTAAACCCCTAACCTCCAAAACAGCAATGCAATCTCGGCCAATACAAATGGAGCAGGCGATGTCATCTTCTTTGTCTTCTGCTGCAAGTCACCGATTTAGAAGTCTCGGGCTTTTGGGTTCTGGGTTTAGGATTTTAGGGTTTTGGGGGGTATAAGGCTTCAGGGTTTCAGGGTCTACAGAAATTCACCCCAAAACCCTAAACAACCCTAAACAACCCTAAACAACCCTAAACAACCCTAAACAACCCTAAACAACCCTAAACAACCCTAAACAACCCTAAACAACCCTAAACCCTAAGCCCTAAACACTTTACGGCTCAGAGGCCGCCTAGGGGAAACCCCAAAAGCTGGTGCAACCAAAGTGCGCGCTGGCTCCACCGGCCTGTGCCAGCGCATGCATCTTATACGAACCTAGATGTTTAGGGTTTATAGGGTTTAGGGTTTAGGGTTTATAGGGTTTGGGTTTAGGGTTTAGGGTTGAGGGCGCAGGCTACTATATTATCTGCGAAAGAAGCATCCAACGAACAAAAACCATTCTTCCTTGTCAGGGTAATATCCGGATTATCATCTTTTTTGGGGGGTGTTCTGGGTTTCGGGTGCCCGAAATCCCTAGACTCTGGAGCATAGCTTCCAACTCTTCAGCACAACATAGTCGACCGCTGGCCTAGGTCAGAGGATCGGTTTGCTTGCTTTCCTGTCGGTTTTTTAGTTGTTTTCTATTGAGCTTCTATTGTTTTTTCTATGGATGTAGATGAGACCCGGTCAAAATTACCGCTTACTTACATTAGTAGAGGGGGGTAGTTCTTGCAGCAAAATGCCGGGGATCGATAGGGGACGCGCTAAAATGATATGGCTATTTGATACTTTTGGATAAAAGTGCGCTTGGTGAAAAACATGGACAACGATAGGGGACGCTCTAATTCAAAAACAAGCAAGGCTTAAACAAGTAAGTAATTTCGACGCCGACTCAGGTAGGTTTTTCTAGCAAGAGGTCGTTTCCTGGCTGGGGCTGCTCGTGATTCCCTAGGACTCTAATATTCTCGACAACCCTAACTACGCCCCAGCACCCAGAGTAGCCTTCTTTGAGGCTTCGGTTCCGCTAGAAGCCCCTTTGAACCAAAAAGGGCATGCCTAAGAACCCCGAAAAATTTGTTTCAAGGGAAATATAGGAAATATATGTTTGTTTGTTCTTTTGGGTCTCGGCAGATTGCCAGCAACCGAAACTCTCTTCTTGGCTCCGAGCCAGTATCAATCACCGAACCCTTAGAGCCCGAAAACACGCCAGAAACCGTCCCTCAACCCTAAACCCCAAACCAGAAACCCTAAACCCTAAACCCTAAACCCTAAACCCTAAACCCTAAACCCTAAACCCTAAACCCTAAACCCTAAACCCTAAACTGTCCATGAAAACCCCGCGCCCCTCAACTTTGCACCTGCCCCGTCGAGGGCGGTCGCTGGTGTGGGACGGTGTGGGGCTGTTGCAAGAGATGCTGCCTTTGGAGGAATAGGGTTTAGGGTTTAGGGTTTGGGGTTTAGGGTTTAGGGTTTAGGGTTTGGGGTTTGGGGTTTAGGGTTTAGGGTTTAGGGTTTAGGGTTTAGCGTACCTAACCCTGCGACCCTACACCCTTCGGGATTTGGTGGCGGAAGCTCCCTCCTTGAAAAGATCATTTGTCTCTCAGAATCTCTCACCCTAAACCCTAAACCCTAAGCCCTAAGCCCTAAGCCCTAAGCCCTAAGCCCTAAGCCCTAAACCCTAAACCCTAAACCGCTACAAGCCCCTAAAGCACCCAAAGCCCCTAACGCACCTAAGCCCCCAAAACCTCAAATCCGCATCAAAACCACTGGCACTGAAACCCTAAACCTCCAAAGCGCCTAAAGCCCCCAGGCCTCTTGACCCTTGAAACCCCTAAACCCCTAAAACCCCGAAAGGTTAAGAACCCCTTAAAACCCTAAAAAGCCCCTAAAAAGCCCCTAAAACCCCTAAAACCCCTAAAACCCCTAAAGCCTAAACCCCTTAAAACCCCTAAAAAAGCCCCTAAAACCCCAACCACCTCTGAAGCCCCCTAAAGCCCCTGAACCCCTAAAAGCCCCTAAAGCGCCTCGAGCCCCTAAAGCTCCTAAACCCCTAAAGCCCGTAAAACCCCTGAACTCCTAAAACCCCGAAAGCCCTAAACCATCCTAAAGCAGCGGAAGCCCCCGAGACCTCTACACCTCCAAAAAACCCCCGAAAGCCCCTAAAGCCCCTAAACCCTAAACCCTAATTTGCTGGGGTCGGCCCCTCGATCTTGCCCATGAACTGATTTTCGACTGTCACCATTCTCCAGGCTCCTATGTGTAGACCCAGGGTTTAGGGTTTAGGGTTTAGGGCTTAGGACCATGACGTAGACCGGCATGTCTGGTTTCTCGGTTCTGGCTGGGACAGCGTGGGGCGCGTCAGCAGCCTGCGGGGGAGACTGCTCTGCGGTTTAGAGTTTAGGGTTTAGGGTTTAGGGTTTAGGGTTTAGGGCTTAGGGTCTAGGGTTCAGGGTTTCAGGGTTTAGGGTTTACGGTTCTGGCTTCGTGCGCACCTTTGAAGCGGCCGCGCAGGACTGTCATGGCGCGGTAGCGACCGTCCATCGCTGCGTCGTGGTCGGCTATCGCACGCATCCCTTGCAACTTCCTCTGGAACCTGGTCTGATGCTTGGTCAAACCCTAAACCCTAAACCCCAAACCCTAAACCCTCAACCCTCAACCTTGTCCTTGTATGCAGTCACCTTGTGCTCCCAGGAGTCGGCACGGCCAACGAAAAGGAGCTGCCCTGAACCCTAAACCCTAAACACTAAACTAACCCTAAACCCTAAACCCTAGACCCTAAACTGTCAACTGGCGGAGGCTTGCGACCTGGCATCAGTACGCCAAGGCTCCGACGTCTCGGGGGGCGGGGCCACTGGCGAATCAGCGCTGAAGGCTCTGAGTTTGGTCAACGTTCTCTCAGTTTAGGGTTTAGAGTTTAGGGTTTAGGGTTCAGGGTTTAGGGTTTGGGGAACCCTGCCGACCCCCAACCCGAAACACCAAAGCAACAGCAGATGTCAAAGCCATCAGACACTGCTTCGCATGTCTGACCCTAGATTCGATCATCAGATCCCCTTAACCTTAAGCCCTAAACCCTAAACCCTAGAGCATCAGATCCTAGATCCGCGGCCTTCGGCCCTAGCATGTGCACGTTCAGCGTGTTCGGGTTAGCTTTTGGAATTGGGGTGTGGGATTCAGGGCTTCCGGGTTTACCCTAAACCCCTGAACACTAAACCCTAAACCAGGCCAAGAGGCTGATAAGGGTCGGTTGCTTGGTACGCCGGCTGCTGGAATGCAGACCTGAAGGTCTAGAACTTTGCAGGTTTGGGGTTTAGGGTTTGTTAGTCCCTAAACCCTAAACCCTAAACCCTAAACCCTAAACCCTAAACCCTAAACCCTAAACCCTAAACCCTAAACCCTAAACCGAATTTGTTAGGGTTCAGGGATGAGGGGTTTGGGGTGCTTTGAGGGCATCTGAGGTGCACAGGGGTTAGACTAGGGATGTTTAGGGGATCAACGCCGTGGATTTTTGGGGCTTGAGCGGCTTGAGGGGTTCAAGGCTTTAGCAAGGGGGTGGAGAACCCTAAGCCCTAAACCCTAAGCCCAATAGGCGAAGATAGGTCAGATAGGTACGAGTACGGTTAACACCCGGTCTTCTCGGGCCCCTCACCCTGAAACCCTAGACCCACCTGCCCAAGAACTACTATTTGCTTAATGCCTTGTAGGGAAGAATGTTTGTTTGATTTTTTTGGAGGTCTTGAGCAACTAGTAGAAAACCAACTCGGGAAACAGAACAAGCCTACATCTCGGGGCGTGGAGGGTGAACGCACACACTTTTTGGCTTAGGGCTTATGGCAAATAAAGTCTCAGGTAAAACGCCCTGACCCTAAACCCTAAACCCAAATTTGCACCCTAGACCCTGGGTGTAGGGTTTAGGGGGTGATCTGGATCCTCAGGCTACACAGACTAGCAGGCCCGGAGCCTCAGAAAGAAAACGCCCTAAAGCCTAAACCCTAAGTTCCGGGGTTGGGGGGGGGAACCAAGTTCAGCCCACACTGGGCTGCGAGCTGCTGCTGGTAGAGCTGCTGTTGGTAGAGCTGCTGCTGGTACGCGTCGCCATACGGCCTCGGTAAGGAGACGCCAGAAAACCCTAAACCCTAAACCCCAAACCCGAGTCTCCTGAAGCGGCTGGTCATCACGGGGGTCATCCTCTGTGACATCTCGAGCGATGCGCGAAACTGGAGCGCTCTTTCGTGCCTCCGTGGTCTCTCACGGTTGCGGGTCTACTGTGGCAGGAAAAGTCAGGTTCTATTTTGGATACTTAACCCCAACTGTGAGCTTCACCTTGCGACTTGGCTAAACAATAACCTTCAGCCACCTGACCATGCAGAAACGCATGAAACCCAAATGGCCAAGGATCTGTCTAAGCACAAAAAGAACTTAGTGTAGCTATATCATCTCCTACAACCTGCTTACTAAGCTCCTGAGCCCTTGGAGAGACCCTAGAGCCCTCAAGCCCTAAACCCCCTTAATTAGCAGCATGCCCTGGACACACGAACCCCTAAAGCCCTTTTCAGTGCGCAACTAAGCTTGAGCACGCGCACATTACTATGATAAGGGTACCCTTTCTGGTATCGTTAGTATGAAGGCAACACATATCCAAAAAAAGGCGAAATGGTACCAAACAAACCCTAAACCCCAAGCTCACCCCTGCCGTGACAACCCTAAACCCTAAACCCCAAACCCTAAACCCTAAACCCCAAACCCCTAAACCCCTAAACCCCTAAACCCTAAACCCTAAACCCTAAACCCTAAACTCCTAAACCCTAAACCCTAAAACAAACACAAGGAACAAGTACCTACTCCGGGTCTTAGACTATAAGTCTAGGCCGAGGCGCTGCTGGTACTGCGCAGCTTGCGCCTGATGCCACTGGTACAGCTGCTGCTGGTAGGCTGCCTGCTCAGGGTTTAGGGTTTAGGGTTTAGGGTTTAGGGTTTAGGGTTCAGGGTTCAGGGTTTGGGGTTTGGGGCATAGGGCTTGGTTTTGGGGTTTGGGGTTTAGGGTCTAGGGTTTGGGGTGGGTATATGGATTAGAGGTTCAAACCCATACATCCTACACTCTGAGCCCGAAGCCCTGCAGAAACCAAAACGCTGAAAGCCAAGCAAAAACCCCAAACCTCAGACCTCACACACCTCAACAAAAACCCAGACCCGAAAGCAAAAAAAACAAACCTAAGTTCCCAAAATCCTAAACCCTACAGACCCTAAACGCCCTAAAAACCCTAGAAGACTACCCTCCAGAGACCTCGCAAAAGTCGGCACCTGTTGGTCCGTGAGCTGCCCCTGCATCTGCTGTTGCTGCTCATCAGGGAAAGGCCTCGGAAACCACCAGGGTTTAGGGTTTAGGGTTTAGGGCGTAGGGTTTAGGATTTTTTGCTCAGAGCCTTTAACAGGACCCATAGTTCCCTCAAGAGAATTGCTGGGTACTTAGTAAAGCCTCTCACTGTCATAGGGTGGAGGGGAGCACTAGACCCTCAACCAGAAACCCCACAACCTCAAACCGAACTCTAAACCCTAAACCCTAGCCCTAAACCCTAGACTTCAAACTACAACTACAAACTTCAGACAAGATAAAGCCTAACGAACGCCAAGACCCAGACCCTAGAAGCCCCCTCAACAACAAAGCGGGTTAAGGTCTAGGGCTTGGGGAAGAAACCCTAAACCCTAAACCCTGAACCCTAAACCCCAAACCCTAAACCCTAAACGCTAAGCCCCCTCCAGTGCCAGTAGTGCCCACAACCATGCTGAGCCCGGAGCTGTTCTTGCACTTCCTGCTGCGCCTGCTGCGCCTGTTGCGCCTGCTGCGCGTGCTGCGCGTGCTGCGCGTGCTGCGCCTGCTGCGGCGCTCCAGCGGCGAGGCCTTCCACCGGTTTAGGGTTTAGGGTTTGGGGTTTGGGGTTTAGGATTTAGGGTTTAGGGTTTGGGGTTTGGGGTTTAGGATTTGGGGTTTAGGGGTTTAGGGTTTAGGGTTTAGGCCGTTCCCCGGAGGGCCCTTGGATTCAGGAACATACGCAGAAAGGCTCAGGGCTTCGGGTTTGGGGTCTTTGCATGTGCCCTGTATAGCCCTAAACCCAGTTGTTGAGTGGCTAGCCCGTTCTGCTTACTCAAGCGCTTCTCACCCTTACAAACGGGGTTTGGGTTTAGGGTTCAGGGTCCAAGACCAATCACATCGCTGCCCAGCGGCAGCGTGTTGGCATGTACTGTGGGTTTAGGGTTTCCTCGTGGGGTGTTGGGGGCTTCAGCTGTTTCGTAGGCCGCAGATAAGCAGATCGGGGCACTATTTCGGAAAAAAAGGTGGTTAGGCTACACAGCACATCCAACTTCCCTCGACCCTGAACCCTGAACCCTACGAACGAAATCGATCGCCAAAGAACCTTGGTTGGTGTGCTGAGCAGCTGCTCCACGTCAGTCTGTTGAAGTTTAGCATTGCGCACCTCACCTAAATCCTGAACCTGAACCCCCAAAACGAGGCTACGTTACCCCGTGTAATCAAAACAAAAAGCCTAAAGCAGAATCCCTAAACCCTAAACCCTAGACTCTAAACCCTGAACCCTAACACCTGATGCTGTAGTGGATACAGGAGGACCACCCAATATCCTAGACCCTGAACCCCCACAACCCTGCGGGCCTGGGATGTTAAAGCTGAAGCCACCCTGGTCCGCCGGGAAGCCATAGCCATAAGCCTGAGCATCAAACTTGGAGGCCTAGTGTTCAAGGTTTGGGGCTTCGGTCTTTGTAGTTTCGCAGGTACATGTGGGGGTGGGGGGGGGGGGGGTAGACATTAGACGTTCATTCTTGTTTCACGCCTCAAGGAAGGCTGACGTGGGCTTCTTGAGGCCTTTTAATATTACCTGAAACCAGCCACGAATATTCAGGTAGGAATTTTCAGTGGCAAACTTTAAGCGTTTGGCTTAAGGTTTGGTTGGACTACCTTCAAAGCCTAGTAGCCTGATATAAAGTACTAGGTCCACTGGCAATGCAGCTAGCCCTAGGCCATTAACACTGAGCCCAACAGAAAGTAGGGAGCCGTAGCCGAAAAAATGCTACGTGGTACTGGCTTTGGCGACAGGTGCCCAAAAGTATCCTAAAATTCACATGTATTAGGCCCTGAACCTTGAGAGAACCCTGGACCCTGAACCCTAAACCCTAAACCCTAAACCCTGAACCCAAAACCCAAAACCAAAACCCTAAACCCTAAACCCCGAACCCTAAGCGGGCTGGGTTCAGGGTTTTGCTCTCCGCGCTGGCGCCTTCAGGTTCAGGGTGCTTATAACCCCAATTATAACTGTACTTATAAGACCCCAGAGTCCCCTAGGTAGGTTATAAGAACCCTAAACCTAAACCCTAAACCCTAAACCCTAAACCCTACACCCTAAACCCTAAACCTCCAAGTGGCCTGGTAGAGCATCCCCGCGTCAAAGAGCAGCTGGAACTCTGCCTCGGAGACCTGGTACATAGGACCCCCAAGTGCTCCAGCGCTTCTAGGGATTTAGGGTTTAGGGCTAAGGGCTTAGGGTGTAGGATTTAGGGTTTAGGCTTAGGGGTTAGAGCTTCTTCACTTTATTAACAGTACTGAGGGCTCAGGTCCGGGAAAGTTTCGAGGAGTTTCCAGCAGTTTCGAGGGAATTTTCTCCTTTAGGGTCTAGGGCTTATAGGCCTTTAGGGGGTGCAGGGTTCAGGGTTTAGGCTGTAGGGTTTTAGGGGGCTTAGGGCTTAGGGTCTGTTACGCTTTGCTGGGTTCTTGTTAAGGAACTTATGTTGAATTGAGCTACCATGATAGTGTTTTAAATCATCCGGCCTGTACTGGGTTCTTCTGAAAGAACCGAAATTAAGCTACCATGTTCTAATAAGGCTTTAACAAACAAACCTTGACTCCGGGAACTTCACTTAAGTTCCCTGACAAACCAGTTCCAGGGTGTCTTTCGGGGCTTGTGGCTTTAGTAGAAATATTCCTGCCCAAAATAACCCTAACCCCTCAACAAACAACAACGGGAGGGACCTTACTTAGCTACAAAGGAAGCTTCTGCCAGAATCACTTGGTCCCAAAAATCCTTTAAAACAAATGGGTCCCTTGTTTTTTTTTGAGAGGGTGTCTACAACCAGTGTTGGGCTCAGGGCTTAGATCAAGCCGCCCGAGCCAGAGTGATGGACGTGTCCCCTTATGACCCCTGCCCAGGCTTGACCGAAATCTCCGAGCAGGCGATAGGACTACGGATTGAGGAGTTCATGCAACAAGTACGAGCCCCTGCTTTAGGCCTAAAGTTTAGGGGTTTGGGCTTAGGGTTTAGGAAGTCACCCCTCCCCCCCCCCCCCCCCCCTGTCGCCTCGCAAACGCCGAGGTCCGAGTCGTCAGCAGCCGGAGGTTGCTCCTGGCAGCGAACTCTGAGCGAAGGGCTCTGTGCCCGGACAGGTAGGGCTCAGGGCTTCCGGCTTATGATTGGGGCCCCCGCTTAGAGTAGGCTTCCTTAAAACAAAGAGACCTCAAAAAGGTATCTTAATCAAGAACCCTAGAGGCAAAGCCTGTCGAGATACCCTAAACGACCCCAGCCCCTAAACCCCAAAAAACCTGAGCCTGAAACCCCTCGCCTAAAGCCTAAGCCCCTAAACCCCCAGGGAGCCCCTACATTTAAAGGTTCAGGGTTAGGGTTTAGTGCTTAGGGTTCAGGGTTTAGGGTCTAAGCCCAAACCACATCAAGTAGTACAGGAGCATGCGTTTGGAGACTCTGGCCACCTGAAATCCTCAACCCTAAAGCCTGAACCCTGAACCCTACACCCAAAACCCTAAGCCCTAATCCCCCTCAACCCTAACCCCTAATCGCCCTAAACCCTAAACCCTAAGCCCTAAACCCAAAACCCTACACCCTAAACCCTAAACCTTCCGGGTTGGCTGGGCTGCGGTTTTGAGATGGATGAGGTGGGGCCTTTGGTACAGCAGCTCGTCGCATTGGGGAGCTTAGGGCTCGAGGGTTGGGGGGTTTAGGGTTTAGGGCTACAAGCTCTAAGGGGCTTAGGGCTACACGTTTTAGGGTGGTTTTAGGGTTTAGGGTTTAGGGCTACCGGTTTTAGGGTTTCGGGTTTAGGGCTACAAGTGTTAGTGGGTTTAGGGTTTAGGGCTACAAGTTTGATTAGGGTGTAGGGTTTAGGGTTGCTCAGTACAGTGACCGGTCTACCATCGTTGGGGCTTTTGGGCTTAGCGTTCCTAGGTTCCCCATGTAGGAGCAAAGAGGGTCAGAAAGGTTAGGGTTTAGGGTTTAGGGTTGAGGGTTGAGGGTTGAGGGTTGAGGGTTGAGGGTTGAGGGTTGAGGGTTGAGGGTTGAGGGTTTAGGGTTTAGGGTTTAGGGTTTAGGGTTTGGGTTTAGGGTTTAGGGTGGCCCAAGAGTGACCCAGGAGCGCTCTTTAAAGGCTTAAACGGGGCTTCTAAGGCAACCTAAACCCTAAACCCTAAACCCTAAACCCTAAACCCTAAACCCTAAACCCTAAACCCTAAACCTAAAAAGAAAAAAGGAATACGGGCCTACTCCGGGTCCTTAAAAAACCCCAAGAAAGGGAAACAAGGGCACTACTGGGCATGCCCTGCTTAGCGACTCAAAGGGGCTGAAGCCTAAGCAAACCACCTACCATCGCACACAGAGAGGGTTTAGGGTTTAGGGTTTAGGGTTTAGGGTTTAGGGTTTCGGGTTTAGGGACTGGGCTCGCGCCTGGGCATACTGCCAATCTTGCCCAGATGTCGCAGCCTCCTGAACGCTCATCTTCATACCCCTGAGAACCCGAAACCCTAAACCCCTAGACCCTAAACACTAAAAAGCCCTACATGGGGTTGAGGGTTTCAGGTTTTGGGGTTTAGGGGGAGGGTTGGGGGTTGGGGCTGGGGGTATGAGTCCAGCGCTGAAGTTTAGAGCTCAGTGAACGTGAAGGTTTAGGGTTTAGGGTTTAGGGCTCAGGGACCCCGGATTTACGGTAAGCCTGGAGCGTGGAAGGCTTGAGTAGGTTTCTGGCATGGGATCTTATGAGCTTGGGCCTGGCTTTGCATTGTCTTGCAGAAGACAGATCGACAAACCCCAACCAACGCCCTGAACCCTAAGCCCGAAAACAAAAAAAACTCAGAACCCTCAGAGTTTTACATGCTTGCCATCGTCATGGTTTGCAAGCAGATTTCATCTTCGGGGCTTGGGGTTGAGGAATGCTGGGGCAGGGGGCTGAGTTTGGGGGTTTGCAGTGTGGTGGGGCTCTGCAAACCCCGAGCCCAAAACCCAAAACCCCAAACCCGAAACCCGAAACCCGAAACCCGAAACCCTAAACCCTAAACCCTAAACCCTAAAGCCTGAACGAAGAGATATCAGCACGTGACCGAAACAAAACGCGCCTCCTGGTACCACTCCTCTCGCGTCGCTGTCGCCTCGCTTGGCTTTGACTCCGAACCTCTAAAATAATAATAATAATAATAATAATAATAATAATAATAATAATAGTAATAATAATTAAGAAAAATAATAATAAAATACTAATAAGATAACACAACCATAATATACATCTTACCAATACTACCTCGGGCTGTCAAGGCTGGGGACTTAGGGTGTAGGGCAAGCCATAAACCCGAAACCCAAGCCTCCGAGCCCTAAACCCCCCCAAACCGATTTCTCCCGAATTCCTGCTACTAGACCCAAGAGTAGCATAGGAATAGAAGGGCATCTTTTTGGGTTTGAAGGGGGTGATAAGAGAGCCTAAACCCTAACAAAAGAGAATAAGGGCCTACTCTGGGTCCCAGTAACTCCTAGTAGCCCTAAACATCAAACCCCAAACCCCAAACCCTAAAATGGACTCTTCTAGAAAATGCTACAGCCTCCCCTCCTTCCCCCCCCAAAAAAAAAGCCTTGAGCTGAACCTTGGGAGGTGGGGGAAGGTTTAGTGTTCAGGGTTTTGCGTGTAAGGTTTACGGTTTAGGGTTCAAGGTTTCTGTAAACCCTCTATTCCTTGACCCTAAACCCTAGCCCTAAACCCTAAACCCTAAACCCTAATCCCTAAACCCTAACGCCCCGAATTCGTCGCGGGATCCCAGGAAAACAGCCGGCTGCCGCTGCCTCGCTGGCTTCCGGCTGGGGCACCTCGGACTCGAGGTCAGCTTCCCCCCTCTCATCCGTGACGCCCTCCTGGCCAGATGTCTGCAGGTTTCTGCTTGGGGTTTAGGGTTTAGGGTTTAGGGTTTAGGGTTTAGGGTTTAGGGTTTAGGGTTTAGGGTTAGGGTTTAGGGTTTAGGGTTAAGGGCTTAGGGTCAAGGGACTTAGGGTTTGGGTTTTATCCGCCGACCCTGGCGGCGTGTTGGATGGGAAAAGGAGGTGAAAACCTCCCTCCTTACCCCCCCAAAACGCGGGGGGGGGGGGGGGGGGTCGGTGCACAATTTTTTCGTGGAGGACGGCCACCCGCACAGCGTAAACAGGGGGTTCAGCACGGGGGGGGAGGGGCAGCGTTTCCCCACCCCCACCCCCCCCCCCACCCCCCCACCACCCCCCACCCCACCCCCCCCCCCCCCACCCCCCCCCCCACCCCTCCCCCCCCCACCCCCCCCACCCCTACCCCCCCCCAAACGATTCACAGAACTCTGCCGGGGATGATCTTCCATGCAAGCGGGTCTCAACTATGCTCCAGCGGGGTCGGCGGCTTGAGCCGGAGGCTCTTAAATGGGCTTGGGGAGAGCCTTGGCTTGGGCTACAGAAACCCCCCAAAGTCCCTAAACCCTAAAACCCAAAACCCTAAACCCTAAACCCTAAACCCTAAACACAATCGAGGCTACGCACGTGGCTGACATTCGAAGAAGAGACTTCAAGCATAGAGAGTAGGGTTTAGGGTTTAGGGTTCAGGGTTTAGAATTTAGGGTTTAGGGCTTGGGGTTTAGGGCTTCGGGCTAGTTCCCTAAATCCCTACTAAGAGCTAGGGCTTTAGGGCTTAGGGCTTAGGGTTTAGGGTGTAGGGTGTAGGGTTTAGGTACAAACGCTTGGGCCGATGTGTACATCCTAAAGTGCGTAGGGTTGAGGGGCCTGGAAACCCTTCAAGCCCTAAACCCCTACTGAGGATGTGGTTTAGGGTTTAGGGTTCAGGGTTTAGGGTTTAGGGCTTAGGGCTTAGGGCTTAGGGTGTGGGTTTTAGGGTTTAGGGTTATCCCCAAAACGCCCATCCCTGAACCGGAACATCCCTCGTGTGGCCCTTCCAAAGCACCCTTTGAACAGATTCATAAACATCATCCTCTCACACCCAACTTCTTGACCCTAAACCCTAAACCCTAAAGCCTAAACCCTAAACCGTAAACCCTAAACCCTAAACCCTAAACCTAAGCCCTGAACAAAAACATCCCAAGGGCCTTCCTAGATCCGAAGCACCCTACACCGAAAACTTACTAAGCTTTCCACTGGCGGAGGGGGGGGGGGGGGGGGGGGGGGGGGGGTTTGTTCCGCACGGCTTAGGGTTTAGGGTTTAGGGTTCAGGGTTTAGGGTTTCGGGTTTAGGGTGTAGGGTTCAGGGTTCAGGGTTCAGGGTTCAGGGTTTAGGAACACCCTGAACCCTATGTAAATCCTTAAAGCCTATAGGGGTTGGGGGTCTAGGGGTGTCAAGAACACATGTTCTAAATCCTGACCCTAATACCCCGAAACCTAAGGACCCAAAGCCTGTAGGGTTTAGGGATTTGGGGTTTAGAGTAATGAAACCTCAACCCCAAGCCCTACACCCCTTAACCTCCCTAAACCCCCCCAAACCCCTCTGAACCCCCTAATCCCCCCCTAACCCGCCCTAACCCCCCCTAAACCCCCTAAACCCCCCCTACGCCCTAAACCCTAAACCCTAAACCCTCAATCCCTAAACCCTAAGCCCGAAACAACGCTCCTCCCAGGAAGGGCGATGGCTCAGCCCTTGTGAGGATGGCCGCGAGGGCGACGACGAGTCGACGCCTTCATCAGGGCTACGGTCATGCCGAGGGTTTAGGGCTGGGTTTAGGGTTTGGGGTTTGGGGTTTAGGGTTTAGGGTTGAGGGTTTGAGGGTTTGAGGGCTTGAGGGTTTGTGGGGTTGGGCTTGAGGGCTTGAGGGCTTGAGGGTTTGAGGGTTTGAGGGTTTGAGGGTTTGAGGGTTTGAGGGTTTGAGGGTTTGAGGGTTTAAGGGTTTAAGGGTTTAAGGGTGTAATTTAAAGGCTTAAGGGTTTAAGGGTTTAGGGTTTAGGGCGGGATAAAGTTTTGGGTTTAGGGTTTAGGGCTGGGTTTATGCTAAGGGTTTAGGGTTTGAGGGTTTAGGGTTAAGGGTTTCGGCTTTCGGGTTTAGGGCTTAGGGTTAGGGTTTAGGGTCCCCAACTAAACCTGCCCAGGGCCGCTCTCTTTTAGCTTGCAGCAGGGTTTCCTGAAAAGAAGGGTACCTAAGTGTGCTTGTTAATGGACTAGAACGGGTATGTCTATGCTGCCCATGCTATCCGTCTCCCTAAACCCTAAACCCTAAACCCTAAACCCTAAACCCTACACCCTAAACCCTAAACCCTAAACCCTAAGCTTAAACCCTAAACCCTAAACCCTAAACCCTAAACCCTAAACCCGCTACAACTAAACAAAGGGTTCGAGCTTTGGGCTGGTCAAGGGAACCCTGTACTAACCCCATACCATACATGAACCGAACGGTTTTGGGTTTAGGGTTTAGGGCTTAGGGTTCAGGGTTCAGGGTTTAGGGTTTGGGGTTTAGGGTTTAGGGCTTAGGGTTTCCCATATAGCACGCAGCCCTGCCCTGAAAGGGGTGGATGACTTGCGTAAGTGTACAGCAGAAGTAACCTCCAGCAAGCCAGCCTCCCTTGTCTTACTCTAGGTCAAGGTACCCCACACCTTGCAAACTTGGTACGTAGCCCTCGTGTCGTATTCTCATCAGGGTACTTTTTTGAGGATTGGTTACTTTAGAATGGAACCTCGAACCCAAAAACGGGAAAAGGATACCACTGGGCTGCCAAGAACATAAGCCCTACCACCCTAAAACCCTAAACCTTACCCCCCCCCCCCCCACCCCTAAACCCTAAACCCTAAACCCTAAACCCTAAGCCCTAAGCCCTAAGCCCTAAACCCTAAGCCCTAAACCCCTAAACGCTAAACGCTAAACCCTAAACCCTAAACCCTAAACCCTAAACCCGAAACCCTAGCCCTAAACCCTAAACCCTTAAAAGACCCGGAAGGCGCCTGCGTTCTCCGGTTGCTGCGCAGGCGGGGTGAGACCGCTCTTGCCCAGAGAGTTCCTGCGATGGCGGCTACCGGGGTTTAGGGTTTAGGGTTGAGGGTTTGGGGTTTGGGGTTTGGGGTTTAGGGTTCAGGATTTAGGGGTCTAAGGCTTAGGGCTGGGATGTTCCCCCTGATACTAACAGTCCTGAATAGGGATTCGAGAACCCCCTATTCTAATCCCTACTGTGGATGGAGGAAATCTTGCACCGCCTTTCAGGGCGCATAACATTCTCTGCCCTCGCCCCCCCTTTTAACATTGCAGCGGAAAGCAGATTTTCAGGATTCGGCCCAAAGACACAAATCTTGCACTGCTCCCATCGCGACAATCACCAATGTTAAAAAAAGGGGGTGCGGGGTTGGCGTCAGACGGTGTGTTTGGAGCAGATCAAGAGGGTGGCGCGAGACTTCATCCATCCAACTGCTAGTATAAGGGGGACATCCCAAGGTCGAATGCTTAGGGTTTCGAGGCTTGTGATTCCATCGAGCCCTGCGCAGCAATCCTTAATCCTAGGGTTTAGGGTTTAGGGTTTAGGGTTTAGGGTTTGGAACCCTTGCTAAAACAGTCGCAGAAAACCAAACAGCCTCCAATATGTGCCTGTGTCAGCGAGACCCAAGCTCGACAGAAGCTCCCGAGAAAAGCCCTTCAACCTGGAACCCTGAACCCTAAACCCTAAACCCTGAACCCTAAGCCCCAAACCCTAAACCCTAAACCCTGAACCCTAAACCCTGAACCTAAACCCTAAACTCTAAACCCTGAACCCTAAACCCTGAACCTAAACCCTGAACTCTAAACCCTAAACCCTAAACCCTGAAGTTCATGAGCCCGGGACCTTGGCGTAGCCTTGGAAGACGCCTGTCCGGACGGCTGCCTCATCAGGATGAAGGCTAGGGTTTAGGGTTTAGGGTTTAGGGTTTAGGGTTTAGGGTTTAGGGTTTAGGGTTTAGGGTTTAGGGCTTAGGGCTTAGGGCTTAGGGCTTCGGGTTTAGGGTTTAGGGTTTAGGTTAGGGTTTGGGTTTGGGGTTTGGGGTTTGGGGTTTAGGGTTTAGAGTTTAGGGTTTAGGGTTTAGGGTGTAGGGTGTAGGGTTTAGGGTTTAGGCTTTAGGGTTTAGGGTGTTTGAGGGTGTGTTTGCTGAGGGTGAGGTTTGAAAGGTGGAAGCGGTCGCCGGGACTAAGGGCGCATAGGGCAGGGCGTAAAGGGCGTGCAGGGTTCAGGGTTGGCTAGTTCATGGTTGGGAGAGTGTCCAAAATATAAATTCCCATTCCTTACTGAGTTTAGGTACCCTTAAAGATTGTTAAAATGCCACCACTATCCCTAAACCCTAAACCCTAAACCCTAAACCCTGAACCCTGAACCCCAAACCCTAAACCCTAAACCCTAAACACTATGACAAATTTCGGGCTGAAATGTTTGGGGAGCTTCGACTTTGGGGGATGCTAATATTTGAGGCTTCAGCTCTGAGTCGCAGGGCTGCGAGCCCTGCTATTCTTAACTTGCGGTTTAGGGTTTAGGGTTTGGGGTTTGGGGTTTATGGTTTAGGGTTTGGGATTTGGGGCTACTGTTGTTCCATGTGTCTTGGGGTCCGGGGGCCTGGCAACTTTTTCGTGCTTGGCGCTTTGAGGCCCTAATTCGTCTCTGGCTCTCTGCCAAGTGCGGGTGTGTGAGGTATGTAGGGATTTGTTTAAGGCTTACAGGGGTTATAGGGTGTTGGGGTGTTTTGTGTCGTGTTTGTCGTGTCTGATCCCTAGCAACTGCAGGGTTCGGCACTAAAACCCGAGCATCCACAAACCCTGGCTAATCAACACAGCCCGTTCAGCTCGCCATATGGTGTGCTTCGAGCCCACAATCGAGCCCCGAAGCCCTAAACCCTCAACCCTAAACCCTGAAGCCTAAACCCTGAAGCCTAAACCCTGAAGCCCAGGCCCTAAACCCCACACCCTAAACCCCACATCCTTAGTGACCTGAAGGATGGGTGGGTCGGACTCTTTAAGTCTGGCGCGCAGCGCTTTCTCGAGGAACACACAAAGCATGATTTGGTGGCGGACAGTACCAGCCCTTCGTCCCCTAGGTGCTGCCGCAGGCTACGGAGTGCCTTGACCGCCCTTACTGCCACGCTGACATGATTTTCGTTTTGTAAGTCCACGCTGATATCGTCAATCCAAATGTCCATATCCGTGACCTGTACCTCCTGAGTCAGGCGGTCACACACCGGGAAGAGCGCTGCTTTGGACAGCGCCGGTGCCAGCGGGCATCCAGCCAGCACGCCACGCTGGGCGTAGACCGGAGGGGCTACCACCCCTTCACTTATCAGCAACCTCCCTCCGGTATATGCACCTAGGGCCAGTCTGAGGAGCTGGGGAGGGAATCCCAGTGACAATGCGGACTGAACGAGCTTGTCATGGGAAATGGTTTCGTAAAAAGTCGTGAGGTCGATGTACAGCGTGATTCTGTGTTTAGGGTTAAAAGCCGTAAACCCTAAACCTTAAACTAAACCCTGAACCCTTAACCCTGAACCATAATTTAGGGTCCAAAACCATAAGCCCGAAACCCTAAACTAGACCCTGAACCCGAAGTCTCCCTACTTTAGGGTTTTAAAAAAGAAACAACCTAAACCCTAAACCCTAAACCCTAAACCCTAACCCCTAAACCCTAAACCCTAAACCCTAAACCCTAAACCCTAAACCCTGAACCCTGAACCCTAAACCCTAAACCCTAAACCCTAAACCCTAAACTAAACCCTGAACCCTCAACCCGAAAGAGTGACGTTCGCCAGGGCGCCGCGGTGTCATCTGTGGTGACTTGGACGCAGAGCTGGACGAAGTCTTCCGTCCCTGGCTCTCTTGGTCTTACGAAGTGCTCGGATGTAGAGTTTAGGGTTTAGGGTTTAGGGTTTAGGGTTTGAGGGTTTAGGGCTTAGGGTTTGCGGCTTGAGGGTTTAGGGCTTGAGGGCTTAGGGTTTACGGCTTGAGGGATGATTTTGGTGTGTGTGTGTGTGTCTCGGTAGCCGAGGTTACCCAAAAGACACCTGGACCTGTATGTCACAACCGCAACGGCGTGAGATGAGAGACTGAAGCTTGGGGTTGAGGGGCCTTAGGGGTTTTGGGGTTTAGCGTCCCGCGAGCCTTAAACCCTAAACCCCAAATCTCAAACCCCAAACCCTAAACCCCAAAACCCCAAACCCTAAACCCCCGCACCCCAAATCCTACACCACCTCGAAGTCTGTTCTCTTACTGTTTCTCAGTAGGGAATGAGGTAATCTATGTAATCCGTTTACAGGGTTTAGGGTTTAGAACATCATCTTCCATGTTGGCCCTTGAAAACGCACGGACGAACAATTCCGAACAGCAGGTTCTCTTGCAGTTTAGGGGTTGAGGTTTAGGGTTTAGGGCTTCAGGCTTCGGGTTTAAAGGTTCTAGAAGTCTCTTGTAGGGGAATCTGCACACCGGAAACTGCCCCATAGATCATTATGTTGATGCTGCGGAGCCCGTCCTTGCGTTGGAACTGAGGATTCCGGAGCTTTAAAGCTTCAGGCTTTAATCTTGGCTGCACTTAGGAGGGTAGTAAAAAAAACTTTTAGCTGCCTTATTAAGAAACCCAATAAACCCAAAAAGGCTAAGGATCTAAAGTTAAAGCACCACAAAGTAATGGGAGGATCAGGAGACCAAGTAAGCAGTGATCAAGTACGGTCTAGGCAAGGTACCTGCTAGTCTTTTATGCCACGCAGTCCCCCGGTCTTGCAAGCACACCACACGGCAAGCTCTGAACACACACAAACGCACTGGGGGGGGGGGGGGGGGGGGTGGGGGGGTTCTTTCTATACCAAAACCAATTAGGGTCCCTTTGTGGGGGTACTGTAAGCGAAGCAGGTTGCCCACGTCATCGCTAGGCCGCATCCCTTGATGTCAAAGGCCCTTGTTGCGAAAGCAACTGCGTAGCCTGGTATGTGCAGAAGTCAGTGTAAGACCATAGGAGGTCACCCGACAAGCGGTACTTCTGAGGACCACGCTGCGCAATTGGCAGCGTGGCCCAACGTCGCTCAGCATGAGCTCTCTTCGCCTCAAGCTCCCCGGATTCCTGCTCGCGCGAACGGGGAGGCTCTTGAAACACGTTGCCTACTTGAAGCGGTTTAGGGCTTAGGGTTTAGGGTTCAGGGGCCCAATTAAGGGCACAATTCGGGGCCCAGGAGTGGTGGACGGACCCAGCCTTTGCGAATCAACGTGTGACATTGCAGGGCAGTGGAAAACCAGCTGCGCCGGCACGAGTACTATTGTTTAGGGTTCAGGGTTTAGGGTTTAGGGTATTTTGTCCATAGACTGAACGCATGGCTGAAGTAAGCGAGCCTTCTCGCAAACGTGGGATGCCTCAATGCTCCCCAGGCAAAAGCACACGACTCACATACCACGATCGTAAGCACCCTAACCCCCAAACCCGAAACCTACTTGTCTGAAAGCTCTTAGCATACTTGCACCCCTCCCCAACAACCCTTAAAATCAGGGGACTTGTATAACCTACTATTATGGTTAAAGGGCAGTTGGGGGGGAGGGGGGTGCTGATGCTGGTAAAGACCCTCATAGGAGCCGAATGTAACCTACCAAGCCATGGAAAAATCGGCTCCTAATGGTCAACCCTTAGCTCCCAACCTGAAACACCAAAACCCTAAACCCTAAACCCTGAACCCTAAACCCTAAACCCTAAACCCTCAGCTCTCGACCCCTCAAACCCCAAACCCTGAACCCTAAGCCCTAAACGCCTAAGCCCTGAGCCCCGAAGCCCCAAACCCTAAACCCTCAACCCTCGCCCTAAACCCTAAACCCCAAACCCGAAACCCTCAACCCTGAACCCTGAACCCTGAACCCTGAAACCTAAACCCTTGCGCCTGAGCATCGCCCTTCTCTTTCGACGCATCACGTCTCCCAACGCTTTTGCGCCTTGCTTGCAATGCTTAGGTTTTTGGGTTGGGTCTGGGGTTTAGGCGTGGGGTTTAGGGTTTGGGGTTTGGGGTTTGGGGTTTAGGGCTAGGGTTTAGGGTTTAGGGTTTAGGGTTTAGGGTTTAGGGTTTAGGGTTTAGGGTTTAGGGTTTAGGGTTTAGGGTGTAGGGTTTAGGATTTAGGGTTTAGGGCTTAGGGCTTAGGGTTTAGGGTTTAGGGTTTAGGGTTTAGGATTCATAACAGGCCTCTCTAAACGGTATTCTCGTGGGGTCAAGATTCGATGCAGGCTTGGCAGGTCCAGACTGCATCGGGTTCAAGCTGCGCCCACCATGTTTAGGGTTTAGGGTTTAGGGTTTAGGGTTTAGGGTTTAGGGTTCAGGGTTCAGGGTTTAGGGTCTAGGGTCTAGGGTCCCACTGGAACGGAGGCAATAGCTGCCACCAGACCATCAGCGCATTGCAAGTGATCCTGGTATTGTGTTTAAACAAGATGCATGCGCGGACGTGTAGTCATCCTGGAGCAGATGGCATTGGCCCATGTTCAAACTGAGGCCTTAGAGGTTGCATTAAGTTCCTCTATCCCTGATGTGGCTGCTGATGCGGAGGGTTTAGGGTGTAGGGTTTCGGGTTTAGGGAGACCGTCTTCTTACTCCTTTTCGTGAGATTCCGAGATTCCATGTTGGGTCTGTCGAGCTGACACGACGTTCATCAAGGACCAGTGCCCTTCCAAACCTACATTCATCCAATACCGCGGGCCTTGACAACACCACGAAACCCGAGATCCCTTGTTCCCAGTTTCAGGCCCGGTTCTGAAGGAAAGTAAGCCCTAAACACTAAACCCTGAACCCTAAACCCTAAACCCTAAACCCTAAACCCTGAACCCTAAACCCTAAACCCTATAAGGGTAGGGTTTGGGGGCTATGTCTTAGGGCTTAGGGCTTGGGGTGGGGGATTGGCGGCTGGCGCTAAACGGCTTTCGGGTATGGAGTATAAGGTCGTTATACGTAGGGGGTTCTAAGTGCCCCAATTAAGCTTATGATGTAGGCTACCTTACTTATACCCTACTTGTAACTACCGATGAACCTTCAAGTAGTACCCGAAACCCAAACCCTAAACCCTTCAAGTAGAAAGTATGGGGTAAAGGACCCTAAACCCTAAACCTTTCAAGTATGGGGTATAGGACCCTAATTCCTAAGCCCTTCAAGTATGGGTTTAGGGTTGGTAGTTTTGAGCAGTCACCCTCCTCGACTCAGGAGCCAAGCGGCGGAGAGCGCGGTGAAGTAACTTTCTGACCTGTCCGGTCAGTTATGTCAGGTTCCGCGAGGTCATCCGGATGCTTCTTCCCTAAACCCTAAACCCTGAACCCTGAACCCTAAACCCTAAAGCCACGTACTCCGCCACCCTCCGGGCCTGTTAAGTACCCTGAAACTCCAAGTGGTTCTATGGCGGACGTATAGTCGCGGCAAAAGCTGAGAGCCTTCACCAAAACAGCAGACGAAAAAGCAACGGTAACCTTTTCTTGTGTTTGGGGGTTTAGGGTTTAGGGTTCAGGGTTTAGGGTTTAGGGTTAAGGGTTTAGGGTTTAGGGCACTCTAGGTTTTAGGGGGGGGACCGCAGCACAGAATCCGAATCAACACAATCAGGTTGCAAGCTTTGGAGCAGCC